TCCAGAAGAAACCTTTACAGAATTTTCAATGCAGAAAAACAAACGAAGTGATTAAGGTTTATTGTGATGATCATTTAATCATTAATACAGATCATGATTGATTTTTATGTTGAAGTCAGCATCAATGATTCATGAGGTCAAGGTCAGATAAATCCTGCTAGACAGATATCATTCTATGCACCAAATAATATAGTGGACCAATTGCATATAGTATCCAAGAAACAGGCCAAACCGTGAAAACTTAACATTGACCAATGAACCATAAAAATAAGGTCAAGGTCAGATGATACACGCAAGACAGACATGTGTTCATGGGACACAGATGATGCCCCACTTGCATATCATATAAAGTTATAAAGGGACATAACTGAAGAACGGTAAAAGTGACGCTACCCAAATTTTTACTTGATCTGAGTTTTGTGGTAATACTGTAAGTAGTGTGTATAAGTTTCATAACTGTTGGTTGAGGCAAACTAAAGTTAGAGAACGAAACGAAAAATTACGCAATTTTTCCATTTGTAAAGGGGCATAACTCTAGAACCGTTTAAGTGACGCCACCAAAATTCAAACTTGATCTGTGTTTGGTGGTAATAAGCATTGTGTATAATTTTCATAACATTTGATTGAGGCAAACTAAAGTTAGAGAACGGAAACGAAAAATTAAGCATTGTTTTCCATTTGTAAAGAGGCATAACTCTAGAACGGTTAAAGTGACGCCACCAAAATTCATACCTGATCTGTGGTTTGTAGTAATAAGCATTTTGTATAAGTTTCATAATATTTGGTTGAGGCAAACTTAAGTTAAAGAACGGAAACCAACTTTGGGACGTACGTACGTACGGACGGACAAGGGGGCATAAAAATAATATCGGCTGTTTCATTTTATTTCATCATGATTATGTTAATATGCCTTACACTATGTTATACTGTAGATTTATTAGTTGATTATCGGTACCTACGTCCTTTTCAATGTTCAGATGGAAACATAAATGTTCTCAAAAACATTTACGCTTTTCAAATTAAATACTTTCAGTGCGCCTCCAAGATTTTAAATCATTTTCAGATAAAAAGAGACGGACATATGGTATACGTTAATGAGACAGCGGACCAACAATGCAACAAAATTAAAAGTCATTTAGAGGTCGACATACGTAAGGTCTCAAACAATAGATATATGTCCTTACAATATATCAAGCTCCGAAGTTACCCTTTTCTCTTCTCTTTGTTTGTGAAGACTGAATACTAATCTTTTGCGGTTTTGAATTAACAAAAGCATGTGTGCATTTGATTTATTTGTGAAACTTAAATACTGAAATATGTAATAAATTGTATTACAAAAATATCTCTACAGGTGCAAAGCACCAATTCTTCTATTTTCACTGGTGTCGAACTTGTCCAATACAAGAGCTCGATCAATTTCTTTATCCTTATGGATGTGCTTTATAAACGCCAACCTGTTTCATCGATGTTCGGTCATTGTTGTTCATTAAAAACGTAGAGCACTAAATAATATGTCATGTTCAGAATTGCCCTGATTCTATAGAAATTGTATGATTTAAACCGATACTATTTATATATAACCTACGATCAACTCAACGTTATCCAAATAAAAACACGTGAAGTTATTATCACATAAGACAACCACTGACAAGTTTCCTGACTTGCTAGCAGTACCTGAAAGTCAGCTCAAATACCTAATTTTTCCAAGCCGTCGTACACTCTAATATCGGTGGCTGTACCTCACCGGCTGTGACATAAGATTTTACATCATACCAGAAGGGAAACAGGACCTTGATCGATGTCCAGAAGAAACCTTTACAGAATTTTCAATGCAGAAAAACAAACGAAGTGATTAAGGTTTATTGTGATGATCATTTAATCATTAATACAGATCATGATTGATTTTTATGTTGAAGTCAGTATCAATGATTCATGAGGTCAAGGTCAGATAAATCCTGCTAGACAGATATCATTCTATGCACCAAATATAGTGGACCAATTGCATATAGTATCCAAGAAACAGGCCAAACCGTGAAAACTTAACATTGACCAATGAACCATAAAAATAAGGTCAAGGTCAGATAATACATGCAAGACAGACATGGACACCTTACAATCATTCAATGCACCAAATATAGTTGACCTATTGCTTATAGTATCTTAGAAACAGACTTGACCAGGAAAACTTACTGACATTGACCTATGACCCATGAAAATGAGTTCAAGCCAGATGATACATAACAGACAAACATGTATACCTTACATGCACTAAATATAGTTAACCTATTACCTATATTATTTGAGAAAGAGGCTTGTCTAGGAAAACTAAAAATTGACCAATAAACCCTGAAAATGAAGTCAAGTTCAGATGAACCCTGCTAGGAATTTACTTTGAATAAATCTAACATAAACAGCAGTAGTTGTCCTTTTCTAGATTTAGACATTTCAATTTCTAAACGGAATCTCCATACTAAAATTTACGACAAAAGAGACGATTTTTCATTCCCTGTTGTTAATTTTCCTTTTTTAGATGGTGATGTTCCTTTGGCTCCATCATACGGTGTTTGCCAAGCCTATGTGTTGAAGGCCATACTTTGACCTATAATGGTTTACTTTTTACACATTGTGACTTGGATGGAGAGTTGTCCCATTGGCACTCATACCACATCTTCTTATTTCTATGTACACCTTGCAATCATTCCATACACAAAATATAGTTTACCTATTGCTAGTTACATTTGAAAAACAGACCAAAACACAAAAAACTTAACACTGACCAATGAACCATGAAAATGAGGTCAAGGTCAGGGGAAACCTGGTAGACTGACATGTACACCTTTCAACCATTCCATAGTATCAGAGAAACTGGTCAGCTCAGTGTAAGAATAATGTCTCCAGGAAGGCTAACATACCTCACTGCAAAATGTTTACAAGCATGTTAAAAATCTGGTTTATTGTGTTGGTCTAATACAAAGCAGTGTTGTGGTCCCAAGCTAGGAGCCTGTAATTCAGTGGTTTTCATTGGTTTTTGTCTGCTATATTTGTTTTTTGTTTGTTTTGTCATGCATTAGGCCATGGTTTTTTTTCGTTTGAATTTGTTCACATTTTTCATGTCGGGGCCTTTTATAGCTGACTATATGGTAAGGATGTTTCTCATTGTTGAAGGATGGTGACCAAAAGTTGCTTAAATCCACATCATTTGGACTGTTGGATTGTTTTCTCATTGGCAATCATGCTACATTTCCTTATTTTGTATTTATTACCTTATCACATTAAAATTATCTTTACGAATATGCATTATTATTTGTCTCTTGACAATAAGCATCGATTATTCAACCAATAATAGTCAGGAATCAGGTATTCTGTATTTATATTTATTGAATGTTTGCAAGCATTTTGCTATAGTAATAAAGAGGCAAAGTATACACAGGGATATTCAAAACTTATCATTCGAACAAAAAGGAAATGCCATGGCAAAGAATGAATCAAAGAGCTGAATGCTCTAAGTAAAAATGACGCCATTGTCTCTCATATTGGGATATTTTTGATGCAAGTCTTGATTTTTGCTTAATTTACCTACTGAATCTTAGGAGACGTTTCAGTTTATGGTAGGTAGGGTGACTGATAGAATAGATATGAATTGTTTCCACAATCTATAGCGTTTTTATTTGTTTGTCAAGATATATATATATATGTGTGTGAAGTGAAAATAACTACTAGTTATTCTGCTGTACAAAGAAATAGCTCAAGACTACCTGAAGTTGAACAATCTACAATATTCAAAGAAATATGTGAATTTGTTTCCCTTATTTGTAGAATTATTTAACAAAATGATTATGAAGAGCCTGTAGTAAGAAAGCTCTTATACCCAACATAGTCCTTATTCAAGAGATAAGTTACAGGTGACCTAGTGACATAATCACATTTTTATTTCAGTTACCTAAACATGATCAATTTCTGTAGATTTAGACAATAGTATTGTTATACTAGTTTCACAATTACAAACAAAGTGACACCATTTATACAACTTGATTTCATTGTGAAGATCCTGTAGTAAGCAAGCTTACACTGAAATCTTAAAATGACAACATGCAAAATTATTTTTTTTCAAATGATTTAATGTCTAGTACCGTAGTCATTTATTTCAAATAATTGACCCGTAATAAAATAAGGAGATGGGGTGTGATTGCCAATGAGATAACAGTCTGATGTACTATCTACCAGAGGCCAAATAATGTGGCTGTTGGCACTTATAAGTCACTTTCAGACCTCAACAATGTACCAAACCGGTTTATTGTTTTCAGGTACCACAGGAAAAAGAGGAGTTGTGGCCAGGTGCTGCCAGGATTTAAAACTATTAGAATTACACAGTTTTGTCTGCATTCAGAGAAAATTTCATGGTGTAAACACAGCCATTTTTGTTGGTGTATATTAGATGAACCTTAAAGGTGGATTATCAGATTATTGGTCACAGGAATATTAACTTGAACCCCACCGAAAAAAACAGGGTATGAACACAGGTGCTACAGAAGGGTAAGCCTTTTCCTGCTGTGCATGTGGCATACATCTTGTTGCTCCTCCAAGTACAAATTCGGTGATCAGTCTAATTCTGTGATGTCACAATCAAGAAAAAGAGGACAGGTTATGGCAATTTAAAATTTTGTGTTGGTTTGTTTAAATAAGCTTTACCACTCTTACAGTTCTTTAGACCAAGCCCCCCTTATGGAGCTACATAACTTTATGATAACAGCATAGACTTTTTACAAGTATCACTTCAACATTGGCTTGCCAGGCCCCCCTGCCTTTTTCATAATCATGGATCCACACCTGCTAAGTGATGGGTATGACAGGCTAGTGATACTAAAGATGAATTGAGTATTAACAAGATTGTGAGCCAGGGCCTGTCTAAATGCTGTACATGGCATGTATTCCTTCACAATTTTGTCATATTTTTTATACTTCTGTCCAAATTAGTACTACAGCTGAATAACTATAACAAGTTTTCAAAAAACCATTTAATCTTAACATAAATATTATTATAATATTGCACTCGTCATAAAATGTGAGAAGATATTAATATGAAACTGTTTACTTTAAATTTTACACATTGTCTCCTTCAATTGTGTAATTGTCTGGAATGTTTAACATTAATACACTGAATTTTTGTGTATTAGTGTTAAACAATTGTGTAATTGTCTGGAATGTTTAACATTAATACACATGTTAAACTTGAAGGTATTTCCTTCCAAAGAACTGAGTTTTCTTCTCAAATGCTGGAGATACTATTGGTTTGTTGATTTCATAAAATGGATTCATGGAAAACTGAAAAAAAGAAAGAAAAGAAGATTAAAGTATGAAAAAATAATAAATAATATTCATTAAGCATGTTGAGTCCATGTGACAGCAACTCAACAAACCAAAACACACAATGTCTGTTTCTCCTTTTAAGTGCCAATCTGCCTAAGAATCAGGCAGTGGGGAAAATATGACAAACAAAAAAAAACACTCAAATTTACAAAAATCTAAGTTCAAAATGTATAATGGTGCATGAATATAATATTCGTTTCCTTTTCCTGGATTTGTTTTTTTTTGTTTGGATATAATTTGGTTGAAATGCACTAGAAATTAACAATTAAGAGGAGCTAATATAAAATAGAAGATGTGGTATGATTGCCAATGAAACAACTCTCCACAAGAGACCAAATGACACAGAAATTAACAACTATAGGTCCGTAATTTGCTATCATTCTAACCAAAAGTTATCTAGATTTCTCTAAATACCAAACACGTGAAAAGCTAAAGACCTACCATTTCTAATTAAGGATGAAGGTAGCTTCAAAATAGGATGGTTAGGATGGTGGTTTTTTTTTCGACCATGTTTTGAAATTCTTCTAAATTGCCTGATTCTTACAAAGACTGGCACTTAAATAACAAAGAACAGTAACTGTATAAAAATATCACATCCACACAAAAATGTATAAAAGGCATATGGTATGAAGTAATTCTGTCAATTTTCCTATCAATTTAATATAAACTGTTGGATATTTTGAGCTGACAAACTTCTTAATATGTGAAAATGTATAAGTCAATGTTTTACTATCAGCACCCCAAACGAGAGGCTTTGGAAATCATGTAAAATAAGGTTAAAATCATAATTAATAGTATTAGATATTAGATATTATAATGATATCTTAGATAATAACAAAAAACTGCAAAATTTTTGTAAAATTACTAACTCAGGGGCAGCAACCCAACAACGGGTTGTCGGATTCGTCTGAAAATTTCAGGGCAGATAAATCTAAATGTGATGAACATTTTTGCCACCTGTCAGATTTGCTCTAAATGCTTTAGTTTCAGAGATATAAACCAAAAACTGCATTTTACCCCTATGTTCTATCTTTAACCAAGTCGGCCATGATGGTTGGAAGGCGGGGTCATCGGACAAGTTTTTAAAACTAGATACCCTTATAATGATTATGGCCAAGTATGGTTAAATTTGTCTCAGTAGTTTCAGAGAAGAAGATTTTTGTAAAAGATTACATAAATTTACGAAAAATTGTTGAAAATTGACTATTAAGGGCAATAACTCCTAAAGGGGTCAACTGACAATTTTGGTCATGGCAACTTATTTGTAGATCTTACTTTGCTGAACATTATTGCTGTTTACAGTTTATTTCTATCTATAATAATATTCAAGATAATAACCAAAAACTGCAAAATTTCCTTAAAATTACCAATCCAGGGGCAGCAACCCAACAACAGGTTGTCAGATTTGTCTGAAAATTTCAGGGCAGATAGATCTTGACCTGATAATCAGTTTTACCCTAGTCAGATTTACCCATAATGGTTTGGTTTCAGAGATATAAGCCAAAATCTACATTTTACCCCTATGTTCTATTTTTAGCCATGGCAGCCATCTTGGTTGGTTAGCGGGGTCATCGGACACATTTTTTAAACTAGATACCCTAATGATGATTGTGGCCAAGTTTGGTTAAATTTGGCCCAGTGGTTTCAGACGACGGACGCCAAGTGATGAGCTAAAAATGACTTTAATGAAAAAATCTAATGAAACATGTAGGAGATATTTATGTAGAAAATTTCCAAAATTTGTAGAAATAGCAAATTCCATATGGATTTAGATGTGGTGAAAAAACTTATATCTGGGTGCACAATTTTCTTTCCATCCTATATCAGTGCTACTCAACATTAACCTCAGACTTACAGGTAATTACAATGTAAGTTTAACTCATCCTTCAAAGGTCCTGGATGTGTCAGTCATTTGATGAAAATCAAGATTGATTGATAGGTTTAACACCACTTTCAGCACTATTGACTATTTCATGGCAGTCAGTTTTTATTGGTGGAGGAAGTAAGAAAGCTTGGAGAGAACTACCGACTTTTGTCTGGAAAACAGACAATCTTTGTCAATTAAGATTGGAGTCAAGCGCACCTGCCACTTACAGGGTTCAAAATGACAACCTCAGTGTTGACAGGCTAGTATACAGTAGTTGGACTAATTAGAACACTAGGCTACCGGGCCCTTCGAAAATAAAGAAAGAAATGATGCATCCACTCCCAGCCTTGGACACAGGGGACCATTTAAAAGTTTGGCCTAATACCTCCTTCGAAACGTAGAAATGTCGAATTCCTCTGGAGTTGTAGTCTAGTCCCTTGCATTAATAATGAGAGAACCTGATGGTACATATTAGATCTTGTGTGGCATTATAAGGGGAATAACTCTTACCTTTATATATGTCTCGTAAATTTCATTGAAGAAGTTCTTTATACCGTCCTCATTTTTTACTTCATGAAGCATTATAAACCTCATTCCTGGTGCTCAGTTAAGGAACCAAATTATACTTTTTACAAACATAGCAAGTTTTCAAAGATCAAAGCAATTTTCAACATTTATTCTGTTCAGGAATGTGCACAGCTGAAAGTTTGTAAACCTGAATGATTTACACACAAAAAAATACAAATTATAATTTGGCCTAAAAATGGTAGCCCAAATACATTCCTTTCAAGTTATGTGATTTGACTTAAGCAGACTAAAATTTTGTACTGGTTGACCTAAGTTTGTTTGCAAATTAATCACTTTTGGTCTGTTTTCTGTTGTGACACTAGAAAATTAACGGAAAATGTTTTATGTATCAGGTATTTCAACTTTTTTACTTGTTATATATGGATGAAAGGAGATGTAAGATATATGTCTATAAAACAACAACCCAACAACTTTTAAAACCAAAAGACATCCAGATGATCTATAAAGATTTCTAAACTAATTGGACCTTAATGTCATGTGTATTGAAGAGAAGAAACAAATGCAATTTTTTAAATGTGTTTCGATTCAGCCATGTTTAAATCCTGCAGCCTACAGCACTTGAGGCCAGCTTGATGTAACATGAAGTACAATCTTATTTATAAAAAAAAAAGAATTTGTTGATGGAACTATTAAAAGTTGTGTATAGATATAAGAAGATGTGGTATGAGTGCCAATGAGACTACTCTTCATCCAAGTCAAAATTTATAAAAGTAAACCATTATAGGTCACAGTACGGTCTTCAACACGGAGCCTTGGCTCACACCGAACAGTAAGCTATAAAGGGCCCCAAAAATTACTAGTGTAAAACCATTCAAACGGGAAAAAACCAACAGTCTAATCTATATAAAAAACGAGAAACGAGAAACACTTATGAACCACATCAACAAACGACAACTACTGAACATCAGATTCCTGACTAAGGACAGGTGCAAACAAATGCAGCGGGTTTAAACGTTTTAATGGTACCAAACCTTCACCCTTTTTCTGAAACAATAGTGTAACATCACAACATAGAAAAACACACTATAAAATATCAACTGAAATAGCTTAACTCAATCAAAGGACATATTAACACCATTGAACATACACTGAACAAATAAATTTGACCTATGATACAATGTAAATACATTTATATATACATTTTTGAAAGACTTCCTAAATTTTTTTGATAAATAAAATGATGCCAGTAAAGTATGAATAAATCTTTTTTACTTGATTATGGTTCACTTAAAAACAATGTGCCACCAAATATTTCTTATGAGTTACTTGATTTATTTGTATTTCATTTTCTGTATTTTATAATCCTGAGGAAAATCACTTGTATAGCTACAGGTGCATGTGTTATTCTTTAAAATTAAAGCATTGTTAAATGTATTATCATAATTATAAATGAAGGATACGGCTAGCTGTTACGAATGCTGAGACAAACCATTCATTGAACTTGTCAACTATCTTCAGATACATGTTGTTCGTTGCCCACATCTGCTCGTCTACCAAATCTAATGACTCATGGGCTACAAATTGATTTAAGTGACGGTGATCATCTTTCTGAAAATATCAAATAAATCTTATATTACCCGGAATCTATCTTTAAAAGTGTTTGTCCATCTTTCTAAAAAAAATATATATATCAGTATACATGTACATGATTCTTTCAAATTGATTGAAATGTAGGTAATCAGCCATCTTTTTGAAATATTTAAACGATTTAAAAAGTTGATTTAAGTTTCGTTGCTCATTTTCTAAAAAATACAAAAATAAGTAAATCTTATCCTTCATGTGATACAAAATAAAATCAACGTCATTGAAAAGAAACAAATTCATCTGTTAATAACTAATACTCTATTAGCTAAAAATTCTTCAAGAGGAGAAGAAAAATCTTCAGTTCATAGTCATAATACACATTTTTCATTTTTTTTCTGTTGCAAACTTAATTGATCCTCACTACATTAGAGATTTCAGTGAAACTCATTTTCAAAATTAGCAAATATACTGAATCTACCAGTGCAAATGTATGTAATTGATTTATTGATTGGTGTTTAACGCCACTTTCAACACTATTATGCAATTTCCTGGTGGTCAGTTTTTATTGGTGGAGGAAGTCGAAGTGACCGGAGAGAACCACGACCTTCAGTAGGAAAACTGACAATCCTAGTCAATAAAGATTGGAGTCGAGTTCACCTGTCAGGTCCTGCCCTGTGCGGGATTCGAACTCACAACCTCAGTGTTGACTGACCTGTGATACAGTAGTTTGACTACTTAGACCACTTAGCTACAGAGGCCCCTCAAATGTATGTGATAAAACCATGTCAGTTCTTGACAAAATCATGGTTGTTTACACAGACCCTTGTTTCATCAACCAAAAAAATAATGGTGTTGATGGCAGATCTTAGATAGTCTTCATTATATTCATTCACAACTTTTCAGGACTCTAATTGTCCTGAGTTTGAGATCGATAGTGTATAGACCACTTGCCTGTAATTCAGTGGTTGTCGTTTGTTGCTGTATATCATATTTGTTTTTCATTCATTATTTTTACATAAATCTGGCCGTTAGTTGTCTCCTTTGAATAGTTTTACATTTGTCATTTCGGGGCCTTTTATAGCTGACTATTCTGTATGGGCTTTGCTCATTGTTGAAGGCCTTACTGTGATCAATAGTTAATTTCTGTGTCGTTTGGTCTCTTGTGGAGAGTAATGTCTCATTGGAAATCATATCACATCTTCTTATTTTTATATTATTTGCAATCATAGTATGATTGCATAGTATGATTGCTAATAATATAAAAATTATGATACCACATCTTTTTATTTTGATATACATGTAATAAGTAGAAGTCATGTATACCCCATGCTATGAGTATGGATAATTTCTAAGACATGAATATAATGAAAATGATGTTGACAAACCTTTGGTTCACTACTTCTACTTCCAGGAGAAAACTCCATTTCAAATATTGGGTTGTCATGGTGACCAACTATCACAAAATAATAATTCCCAGCCATCTTTTATTTATCTTCATTTACTTTCTTAATCTTGAGTTCTGGAAAAATAAATTTATGAATATTCATTAGTACATGCACATATACCACAAAGTTAATATAATTTGAAAAGAAGGCAAATCAATTGATGGTTAATTTTCACAAATGAACATGTTGAATGCATGTGATTGTGGTAGGTTCACTCTGAAATTTCACTCTATATTCCATAGGTAATTTAGGGGCCTCTGTGGCCAAGTGGTCTTTAGTAGTCTGACTACTGTATCACTAGCCTGTCAACATGGATTTTGTGAGTTCCAATCTGACTCCAATCTGAATTGACTAAAATTGTCAGTTTTCCTACCGAAGGTCTGTGGTTCTCTCTGGCCGTATGGGCACCCCGGCTTCCTCCACCAATAAAAACTGACCACCAAGAAATATCACAATAGTGCTGAAAAGTGACATTAAACACCAATTAATCTATCAACCATAGGTAAAATTTATAACATGGTTTTAAATCAAGAGTGTCACCTACTCAATAACCCAGCTATCACACTGGTTTCCTGCAAATCACTCTTGCTGGTGTTGACTGATTCACTATTAGCAGATCTCATGACTTTTGCAAAGTAGACATGGTAAATAACCAGGATTAAGACTGTTTAACCTGATTTTAGACTGCAACTAGACACTAGAGGCCCCAGATCTTGCTGCATGTCATCGGAAACTTTCTAAATCATGAACAAACTGGTTGTTGTATGGATTCCACATATGGACAAACTAGTGAAAAGTAGACTGCAGATTTTGTATCTTCATTGTTAGTTTTGAGTTTCTCTCTTTTTTTTTTTTTTCAAATATCATCATATTGTTAGCTTTTTTGACATTTGGTCTATATAATGGTTCCATGTCAGAGTAAGTCAACTCCTACATGTCCTAGGTACTTGGTGGTTTTTGTTGCTTCTATAAATTAATGACCTTTCTGGTTTGCGAAGTTTTCACTTCTCTTAAAACATTGAACATCATCAAAAAGTCAAGTTAAATGGAAGACATTCTGGCAATTGAATAGTAGAAGGAAGATTTAATAAAAAAAACAAGGTATCAAAATTACTTGATCAATGATCAAGCAACTAAAAATTTCAGATCATTGTCCTTGATTGTAGTGGCGCTTCACTAAGTTCACTTACCTAGAAGATATACATGTATATGTCCTCCATTAGGCCATTAGAAATTGAATGTTGATTTCCCCTACCATGCCTACACAAGAAAATTTGCAAGGGTTGATAGATAGATAAAAACATTTCATTTTATTTTATTTCTTTGGTGAAAAATCCAATAAGGCTTAGGCACATGCAATTTTGATCTTCAGAGATTTTTTTCTTAACCCACCAACAGGAACTTTTTGAAAAAAAACTCTATTTTGACATTATATCTTGTCATAATCTTGATCTATATTATGAAATAAGCTATTTAAAACGCTAACATGACTAACATGATTACAAAGATACTATTAAAACGAAACACTTTTTCAAAAATTGTCAGACAATTAAAGCAAATATTAATAATTGTCTTATAAGAGTCTTGCTCTTTTTTTTCATCTGTTAAACAAATGACCCAGAGGTTAAAACAGACCCGGAAGGATTAGGAGGGTCGTAATTGGGAAACCTTCATGACGAATAACAATAAAAAATCTTGCTAACTGACTTTAACAGTAATTTTTGGTGCATGTTGATAAAATGTACACAGCTTTCTTAAATGCTTTAAGACAATCAAAAAATCAACTAATTTTGACAAATCACATTAATTTTTCCAAAAATGACGGTAACGGATAATTATTTGAGACCTCTCACGAATCACGATAAGGATATTTTGACAAATAATGATCAAATTTTAAACAATTTGATGCTAACGGTAGCCGAAAATGACCATTTGACACCTGACGGTAAAGGGCATTCATACCCTCGATAAGGATAAACCAATAATCTTGTTTAGGATCTCCTGTAGTTGGTGATCGCAATATTTACTGGTATACCAGTATTGTCCACAATACTGGTATAAAAATTTTGTACCAGTATTGTACCTTTTTTTTTAAAAACAGCAATACTGGTACATTACTGATATACCAGTATTGTAGTTGTATTGTTCACTATACTTTAAGGTGTATAATGAAAAATGAATTTTAAGCAAAATTAGATATATTGAAGATCAAAGGGAGATTAAATGAACTCAAAAAGATTATAGAGGATAATTGTGAAATCAATTAACAACCAGTTAAAAATAATTACTATATATACTTGTACAAATAAACCAAAGATTATTGTAATTAACTCATCTTATTCGAACAATTTTTAATTATATAAATAATTGCTAATAATTCATATTTCTATATTTTATTTAATTCAATTTAGATAAAATAAAATAAAAGCTTTATTATCTGAGTTATTATTTAATAAATTCAAGCAAATTATTACACTATAACACTGTAAATTCAGCATTTACACGTATGCAATCGTATATTTTTTACAGATATTTTAATACATGTATACTAAGATTCTAAGCATTTGTTTGTCTTTATTTTCTTATCAATCATTCACAATAAACATGATAAAAGATATCAATATCCATTAAACATAAAATATGCTTAATAGGGGAACCTGATTATAACCAAATTAACTAGTTTGTCTACATGAATGTTAAGGGTACGTTAAAGCAGTTGATTCAGAACCATGGGCAATACAATTTGTAGCTGATATATCTACTGGTACAAATGCTCAAATACTAATACTAGACAAGCACTCCTACAGTAAGAGAGCTGTACAGGTGCTATCTAAACAAGCTTGTAATCTAGTAAGCGTAAGAGAAAGTCAACAGACTGAATACATAAATATCAATATAGGAAGTGGGGGTTGCAGAAATGCCATCTGAAGAAAAAATAAACAATACCAATGCTGATGATACAGAAGCTATAACAGCATTAATGTCAATATAAAATTCACTAAAATATACTATTGAGACTTGGAAAGAGAGAGCTGGAAGAAAACATGGAAGAAAGTAAAGAGTTTGTTAAAATGCTGAGACAGTATGGTTCCCTTAAGAAAAAAACATCAGAAGATTAAAAACTTTCTTTGATTACAAACACAGTGTACCATCAATGGCATCATCAATTAAAAATACAATTCAATCATTCCATATAAAATTGTCATGTCATATGTTAATATCATTATGCATATATATGTGACACCTTTAATAAAAGATTAATTACCTATATGTATTGTTCATTTTAAAAAAACACAATACTGGAATACAATACTGGTACAAAATTTTTATACCAGTATTGTGCACAATACTAGTATACCAGTATTGCGATCACCAACTACAGGAGATCCTCGAAATCCCTTGTTTACATTGTGCTGAGCTGGGCTTGTGTGTGGAGTACTCCTTAGCAGATTGGTGGCTTACTATGCCAGGGGTCCTATGATTGAATCAAGGCTTATAGACGCTTTTGGTTTTCTGTGTAAGGAGCGAATTTTCTAGTGGGCAGCTAAATCAAAAAAGCCCTCCATACAAGAAAGGATTACTGTCAACAAGAACAGTACTTCATTTGTGGAGTACAAGATACAATATTTCTGTGTTTCTATCCTTATATTTCATGTAAGTGCCCCTCCCCCTTTTCACCAATATTAATGGGCAATATTCATTATATTGCAATTTATCAATGTTTGGAATAAATTAACCAAAACTTGTAATGATTTGACCCAAAAATATGAATAAGTTGATTTCATAGTTGCATATATTGTTACCTATAACGTGTGATTTTTACCTGAAGAAAATTGTTTACAAATATATCATGTTTGTATGTGAATGTCAAAATGAAAATCGATGAATCCAGAGCGATACAGAAAGAAAGAACAGAGAACATCCGGAAAAAAACAAAACATAGTCCCGCTTTTTTGCTAGTGTAAATAGATATATCATAGATAAATTTTTATAAGCTTGCACAATTTGAAATACTCAGTACATCATCATTTATATACCTGACTTATTAACAAATGACTTTCTGTATTTAAGAAACGATTTAAATAAATTATTGCGCGGCGTCAAAATGGCTGCCATGACATTTTTGTAGACGCAGAGAACTTTCATTTTCTACCTGTACCTGCATGACTCAGAAATATTTATGAACTAAATTGCACGAACATATAAAGTAAATCACATACAAGAAATACTAATGTACCATTTAATTTCTCAACTGTTGACACCCAGTAAAAAAAGAAAAAACATGACTTTTATCATGATTCATGTGCAGACTCATCTGCATGCCTAAGGCATGTTTCCCCATCTTTTTACAGAGTTCAAGTCTTACATTTTCCTTATAGGTGCCCAACCTGCCACAATATGAACGATTCGCCAAAGCACTATTGCTATTTTCAGTCAAATTTCAGGTACCCAACCCAAATTTGATAGCCTGGCTAGCCTTTTTCAGTTTTTATTTTAATACAGTTGCCACCTATATGTATAAATAAAGTACAAGTGAGTTGTTTTACCGGAGTGAAAATATTGTACACACGAGACTTACATTACAAGAGAGACAATCCAGTGTCAACAGCGACACCTACAGAATACAGTTTTTCAACATAAATTTTTGGCCCCAACTATATATTGAACTAATATTTTCCCTGTTTTACATTTTGATACCTACATGCTGTCAAAACACACGATCTAGCAGGTTTATTCTTACATTGTGATATAAGTTTTTTTTAGAGAATGCAATTATCCTGGATATTGTTCATGCAGGTATCAAAAAGAACGATAGTTGACAATTTTTATTTAAAAATTTATAATAGACATATTTACACTTGTATGCAAAATTGTCTGCCATTACTTCAAGTCGCACAAGTTCTGGGAAAAGGTTGCATCACAAATAACATTTGATTTCATGATTAAAAGTTGATTGTTGCATGACTTCAAACAGATTAGACATGATAGAATAGATTAGAGAATTTTATTTAAAGTCGTGTTGACATAAAACATTACAAACATAAAATCTGTAGAGGTTTTTGCCGATGTTAATAACAATAACAACACGTACAAAATAAGACATATAAAACATGCTCAATTTAGACATTCAAGGTAAGACAAGCTATATTGCATAAGCAAAATGTTCATATATAAAAGCATAACACAAACTAGCAAAGCACTAAACTAGATTATAAGCACATGCTAAAGCCTGCCTCCAAGTGGGTGATTTTCTCGCTGCGTTGAAAACCTTTTGGTGGCCTTGGGCTGTTCCTTGGTGAGGTTGTTGTCATTGACACTTTCCATTCTATATTCTTTGTTATATATGAGTTTTACCATATCCTACTGAAATATACATGTTGTGGTTCATTTCAGTTACTCAAAGAAATAAATGGCTTCAGGGGGAGGCAATCCATTCAGAAAGCCTGCAGCGACAGATCCAAGACAGAAGAGCACATGGCAGAGAACAGCTAGTGCCTCAGACAAAGATGACAACATTAGCTTGAACAGTTTACCTAATGATCTTAGACCAAATAACTGGGTTAGTATCACAGAAAAAAGCAAATTTTAGCAGTTACAAGGATGAAAAGGGGGGGGGGGGGGGGGAAGTATTTCAAGTGCATAACAGCTTAAGATCAGGAAGACATGAATTACATGAATATTTTATTTATTTTTATTTAATGTGGATTCATTATTTTTCATGGGATACTGATTTTCGTGGATATCCTGGGGATACCGGTAGGTTAACCACAAATTTAATTGTTCATTGAAGCATGAAGTTTCTATTGGCTTGTATGCAAACTTTGGGAAAAACATGAAAACAAAATCCATAAAAATATGGTTTTTCCTCAATCAACGAAGTTTGGTACCCAAGAAAAATAAATGAATTCATGTAGTATGAAAAATATTTGTTTGGTTTGCAGTGTTATGCTTAACATTTATCATGTTTATTGACTTTACATACACCTAAGGCCAAATAAAAATAAATGTGTGGTTCCAGTTACCCAACCGACAATGTTTAAACCCCCTGACCCTAGAACTTTTTTTTCAATTCTGTAAAATAAATTTGAACGATCCCATTTTGTGGAATTTGAATTTCAATAATTAAATTCCCATACTTCTGTCATCTGAATTTCTATTAGAAGTATCCACTACGGCTAAAAATGCAACAAATTCTTAGCAGAATGCAACAAAATTAACTAAAAACGTAACATGTCTGTTTTTTTTTACAACCAAACATATAGAAAATGGCAAACTTCCGGTAGGGGCATGTATAATACCGGAATTGAATTGGACTCAGTGAACACACAATTTTTTTCTGGATTTTGACAATCCAAAAAAAAAAAAGAATAATATGAAAAATTAAATTGCCAACCCACCAACCCTATCTTTTTTGAGGATGTAACTGGATCCACATATATATTTTTATTTGGCCTAACCAAAAGTCTTACACTCATGTTTGCACTACTACAGAGTCTGTTTGGATTTGAATCGAGGTTAAATGAAATACGACATAATATTCTAATGAGATTTAAGAACTAAAAAATACTATATGCTCTTGATCTCACTAATTAGTGACAAGTTTTAATACATCACTCATGAGACAGTTTCCCAGGGTTTGATCACATTTTACACACATCAGAAACATGGTTACACCAGAAAGCTAGACATGGTTAGGATCAACAACACATTGTCTGCATTAACTATAAACTTATTGGAAATGCTACCTGAACACACGTTTACAGCAGATTGAGGGAATCATATTTGAAGAGTGGCAGCATATTTTAAGTGGAACTCTGTATAAATCATTTCATTTGCTTAACTCTCCTACATGTGAGATTGATTAGACAGATGGCTAGAAATATGTCACATGATACTTTCAATTTGTACGTTTTGAAAAAAATATGGTGTCTTGGAAATCCACCATAACTCATCAAAGTTTAATGGTTTTCATTAGGCACTCTTCATCTTTTACGCCAAAACAAATCATAAATATACTGATTTAGAAAGTGGCATTACAATTATCATAGTCATTATCAGCATCATCAACACTATCATAAACATCTTCCACATTAACACTACTATCCTCATCATCATCATCCTCATTTTATTTATACAATTCACAAATAGAAAGCTCTTAGTAGGGTGGTTTTCACCTGTTTCATGCAAATATTCATACACATGCACATACACCATGTACACATTACACATGTAGTAAGTTATATTTAAAACTGTAGCTCCTAGATCTGTATAATGTAGACTATTCTTCTTACTGAATTCTTAATTCCATTTCAATGTCAAGTTAATGATTTGTTGAAAAGTTAAACATGTTAAGATGGAATTTTAGAGTTGTTCCCCTTTAGTAGCCTTTACAATGTAGGTGGTGTAGAGTCTCTTGATTTTTAATAATTTTGTCAATTTTTCATTTCTTTTATGTTATAGTATAAATAATAAAATTGAGAATGGAAATGGGGAATGTGTCAAAGAGACAACAAATATTGAATATGGAATATTGTGTCCATTTTTGCCCCAACTGTTCAGGGTTGGACCTCTGCGGTCGTATCCAGCTGCTCTCAGCGAAGCAATTTATTAAGCTTAATATTTGTCCTGATATATTACAGTCTTACGCTTAATCATATTGAATTTAACTTCATGAATCAAAGCTTTTAGAAAAAAATTCAAGCATAGTGCTGAGGAATTAAGGTCCATTGTAGGATGACCTCCATTCTTGATAAGACATGGTCATCCTTAATATGCATAAATTATTTAACACTGGATGTTAACCAAGCAACAATCAATCAATTTTGATCTGGTTGGCTGACCCCTGACCTACATGGAAAGAAAAATAAACTAAAGACAATCATAATGTCTCAAAAAATTCACCAATGGGAAAGACAGTTAAACCGTTTGTCAGGTGGAATTGCTTTTTCCACGTCTCCACAGTTGGAGTGAACACAGATAGGGCAAAACATCTAGGTTCCATTTCTAAATGTTTTTCTCACAAGACTAAATTGCACCATCCATTGATATAAGCATATATGCATTGGTAATCAACATTTGAAAGATATATAAGGCATGTAAGGGATGTATAAGGACATGGGTTGGTGGTGGAAAAGTAAACTTTACTTAACATTTAGTGCTTGATTTGAAAACAAAATGTTTTTTTAAGCCCAAGTAATAATGATAAGCAGTACAAGAGAAATTCTAATATTGAATCACTTTGCATATGATGTACTTCAAATCAGAGCTTTCAAAAGAATGATTAATCATTAAGACATAAAATAATATAGATACTTGTTTCCCGCCTCCTTGCAGCAAAAATTAGTAGGTAGGTAAAATTATTTAATAATGAATATTTTACATAGACTTTTTAAATGTTTTAGGGAAATATTCTAGACTTGATAAAAAAACAGGACTTTAACGGTGCTTAACCAATAATGTTTCATATAATGTGTTAAGGTGGGCATGAAAATTTAGGGTAGATTGGGAGGCAGGAAACACATAAAAACTTTTGAAAGCTTTGGTAATAATAATATCTTAACATATAGGATTTTTCTGACTGGAAGCCTACTAGAACTACTTATGATAATTCTAAACGAAGGAAAAAGGGAAACCCGGAGAGAGAAAGGGAGCAGTCATTATCTCAGGATTCACCACCTCCATCGGAACAGCAACACAGAACGCCCTCGACATATCCTCGTACTCGCATCACTCCTAGTACTCCTACATCACAAAGGGTCGCCCTAGAAAACCTTAAACAACAGCTAACTTTTAGTGACAATGAGGAAGTAAGTACTTTCATTTTGAAAGTCGGATAAAAATAGCAATGAGGTTTTCCAATTTTCAATGAGATTAACATTTTGTACAATTTAATTTGCATGAAAGTACATTTTTATATCTTAAGGACTATCGTTTCTGAAATAATATGCAGTATTCTAATTTTTACACTTTATGAATAAGACTTAGAGATGTAAGGTATATATGAATGAGACATCAACCCAACCACACAAGTAACCAAATGACATTTATGTATGCAAAAAATAAATAATTGTGTATGTAAAATATCTTCTCAATTTACTAAGAAAATCCATGTGTGGTAACTAAAGTGGGACCAATTTACCCTGAATTTATTTCACACCAGGGCTATGATAAAAAAAAAGTCTTCCAATCATTACTAAAATTCATTGTATGACATGTGCATTCGTGTGACAGTGTATTTTTTTTTACTTCTTATAACATTTCAGATATTTTAGCATTTAATCAAATTATATAGCCTTATTGATCAATGTTTCCAAAGTGCAAGTTTTCATCATTTTGGCATTTAGATTTGTGGATATAGATAGAATTGTAGAAAAATATCAAATCACGTTATATCATTTAGACTCTTACATTTGTATTTTTAGAATTTTATTTTCTTTTTATAATTTTCTTATTTTGATCATCATAGTACAATTTTTTCCCTCTGCATGAAACAAATACAGGGGAAATTGATCATACCTCTTTCATACATGTAGATGTAAAAGTCCATTGGCCTGTCATATATGATTGGTGTAATAACTACCTGGAATTCTAATTTGAAAAAACCTAAATTTACATTTAAATGTAATCTCTTTGAAATAAGGAATACAAGTGCTACGTTCAACTTCTTGCAAGAATAAGGCTATAAGATTGTTATGAAATTTGATATCATCCCTGAGTGTCCAGACTTAAGATGAACCGGTACTTATCAAATTTCATGACCTATCACACCTATCACTGTAATTTGTTTGTCCTAATATATACATCTCTCATTCTTAAAGCTTCTAATTTATTTTAAACACTCTTTGTTTTCTTTGTTTTCTATTTTCTTCTTACTTGCCAACTAATGCTAACAGTTTTAGTTTGATTAATGGCTGTTTTGCTGCATTTTGTCTTACTCTTAACAGAATTTTCACTTTAGTTATCATAAAATACATTATTAATATTAGTCGTTGATTTTTTAAATGTTTGTACTAAATTATACATTTCAAAACTATTTAAGTAGTCTTCATTTTAGGCTCAGTCAAGGCAAGTTACTTATATTTATTTACCTTTGTGCTGCTAGCAATCAGTGTCAGATAATTAAACATCACCTATTTAATACTTGTATATATGTTTCTTTGAAGTACATTCATTATCCACTTAGATTTTAAGGAAGTTTTAATTAGGTATGACACATGACGCCATTTTGTCATCGTATATTGGTGGTCATGAAATAAAATCGAATTTTCAAATTTCCCTGCAGAAAAGGTACTTGTATACATGTTTCTTTGAAGTACATTCATTGTCCACTTAGATTTTAAGGAAGTTTTAAAAATTTAATATATTGCAGCTTTGAGTTTTAAAAAAAGTCAGTAAACCAAATGAAATTTGTATTTTGAGTCTTGTTTTGCTATAACATGAATAATGGGATGTTTCTATTATATAAATACATTATTGTAGCATTTTGGAAAAACAAGATATTTTGTGATTGATTGTTGTTTTCTTAACGTCCAATTGCATATTGTAGAAATTTACAAATTAAGGATGTACTTGGGTCAGGTTTAGGAATTTTTGTCAGATGTTTGGACTCCTTTGTTTTTTCCCTACGATACAGGGTAAAATATTTTGCCCCATAACACCCATTTTTCTTTTTATAAAAGACTTCAATAGCTCATAAAAGGTCATTCACCAAAATTTAAGCAGATTCTAGATTTCTTTTCTTTCAATTTGAGACCCAAATAATACCAATGCAAATATAAGGTAAAAGTCTGAGTCAGCCTTTTCCCACCATTTTTTAAAAATTAGATATCTCGAAAAGGAGCTCCATAACCTATCAATATTTTTAGCTTATTTTGTTCCTTAACTAATGCTCTTCTGACTTATAGTATCAATTTTAAATTCTAGATTTTTTTAATTTCACCTAAGTCATGTAAGTACATCCTTAACTTTACTTATGTTAAATAAAGTTCTTTTTTAATATACATCTATTTGCTTAGCATAGTCTGACACAAATTTTTGAAATTGAATCTGATTCACTATTATTTTTGGTTTTATAAATAGACCTAGGAAGATTTTTTCACTGATGAAATGTATTTGTTGGTCTCAAAAAGTATTCAATTGTCAGTTGGATGACAGTAAAATTAAAAGAAAAGACAGGATATGGGGTATCTATCCATGACACAAAATCAGTACATGCACAGCAAAATACACAAAAAGCAAAGGAACAGCGCACACATTTTTTACTTCACTAGTATGTTTGAAAGTAGGTGATGTAATTGTAAGGTACCGGTATATATCAATAAGACAGCAACTCAAACACAAATAACCAAATGATGGTATATATTAATGGTATTTGCGGACTACGGGTAATAGTCAATGGTATATCTTTCCCACTATCTTCCGATAGTGTATTAACTAACACTACTCATACAGTTTATGATCTTTTTTGCTTTTTTTTAGGCTAGTCTTGACGGTGAGAGAAACAATGAGAGGAATGTTCCAATCCGTCGTGGTCGACCACCAAACTTCACGAGACAAGATACCTCCAGTACTGAGGGGGCAGGGCCTAGAAATGATATGTCACAACAGAGGGGAAGAAATATGGCCAGTCCAAATAATGTAGAGGACTTCTTTTCTGAAGCTGGGGTATGATATCAGAAGCGTTTAGTCTTAGCTAATTGTTCGGCAGTTCAACCTAAATTTCTAGTACCAGAACACAAGCACTATGTAAAACAGTTTGCCAGTGGCTTTCATTATTCACTTATTATGTAATTCAGAAGTTGTTGCCCTTTAAGATTTCATAAGTGTCAACTATTCAGATATTGTTCAGAGACTCAAAATTTTTTTTAAGAATTTTCAAATGTTTCTTTGGAGAAAGGTTTCCAGAGAGGGAGGTAAAATCATCTAATTTGGAGAAAAAGTCTCCATTTTTCGCAGTTAAACTATGAGGTGAATGTTCTTAGAAACTACTGAACAGATTGACTTTAAATTATTTGTTCTGCAGCTTGACAGTAATTATTTGTAAAGTATAAGCACTTTATGGATTGGTCAGACACCTTATTCATATTTTCTGATACTTTTAATTTAAGTTGAATGAATTTAATAATTTCATCACACATTTTTCCAGTAGAACTGAACAGAATGATAAGAAATTTGGTCAGCATCTTGACTGTGATGAGTTTAAGTTTGTATATACTCTGTGATCTGTCAGACATCAACTTCCTGTTTGCTGATTCTTTAAATTACGAGTTTGGGTCTGCTTTAAGGTGGTACCTAACACTACAGGGAGATAACTCTGTAAAAATCAGCTAAACGTTTTAATTACGTTGTATTGTTAAGGAAATATTAAGCTTCTCAATGATCAAAATTAGTGTTTGTCAAACTGCTATATAACCAAAGAATTTTTTCTGATAAAGTGGTTGGTTCAAATTTTTTGAAATTTTTATATTTTTGTCAAAGGGTCAAAGTAAACATTTTGTCAAAATTTTAGGAAAATTAAACGAGCCAAATTAATGTTAGTCAAGGTGTTGGATACCACCTTAATAGCCCGATAGCATGTGTAACTTCTTGTTTTAATTCATTTTACAGCCCAACCAAGGAGAGATTGTTGGTAGATTGATGCAGATTAGAGACTATATAAAACAGGCCAATGTGATGATGGATGCTCTGAACAAGTCTGGTAATCCGGTAAGTTTAGGGTACAATCATATCTGATGTTGCCTATTGTTACCCGTCTTTGCCGGAAATGGCTGATTTTAGGTTTACTCAATATGTGAGCTGTGCAAATAATGAGCATCTGCGACTGTGAATTTCCTTATCTACCACTAGTAAATGAATTTTAGTCTCTAGTGGTTGTTTTGATCTGAACATCATCTGAAAAGTCTGAACAATAAATTATTCAGTCATATTCAGTCTTTCAATTTTCAGACTTATCCACTGCGGTAAATTTAGTACTGTTCAGACATTTGGTTTGAACAGTACTGAATTTACCGCAGTGAATAAGTTTGAAAATTGACCAAAAGACTGAAAATGACTTTGATATAATTTATTGTCCAGTCTTTAAAGAGCTGTCCAGATCATTATTGGTTTAAGAGTGTATAGTTGATTGTAATCTTTGCATTATTTTCTTTTCTATACCAAATTTACTCTTTGACATTGCACATGATGTGTTTCTCTGCATTGTTCATGACATAGCCATATGGAATCTTCTTGGAAGACAGCATATGATATAAGGGTGTAAGGAGGAAGAATCTCTATATCAGATAATTAAGTAATTTGAGCTTGCTTCTGGTAACTACTAGCATTCATTTATCAGGTATATCTGTAAAAACAACTTATTTTCTGGATACTTTTTTTCTGGTTTAGATCTTTTGATCAGACATTTTGGTATTTCATTTTTCATGATATTTACCTTTTTTTTTCGAGCCTTCAACTTTAGTCGAAAAAGCGAGACATAGCGATCCTACATTCCGTCGGCGGCGTCCACAAATATTCACTCTGTGGTTAAAGTTTTTGAAATTTTAATAACTTTCTTAAACTATCCTGGATTTCTACCAAACTTGGACAGAAGCTTGTTTATGATCATAAGATAGTATCCAGAAGTAAATTTTGTAAAAATAAAATTCCATTTTTTCCATTTTTACTTATAAATGGACATAGTTTTTCTACCAGGAAATATTACATTCACTCTGGTTAAAGTTTTTAAAATTTTAATAACTTTCTTAAACTATCCTGGGTTTGTAACAAACTTGGACAGAAGCTTGTTTATGATCATAAGATAGTATCTAGAAGGAAATTTTGTAAAAAAATAAATCCATTTTTTCCTTATTTTACTTTTAAATGGACTTAGATTTTCTGCCAGGAAACAACACATTCACTCTGTGGTTAAAGTTTTTAAAATTTTAATAACTTTCTTATACTATTTTGGATTTGTACCAAACTTGGACAGAAGCTTGTTTATGATCAAATGCTAGTATCTAGAAGGAAATTTTGTTTTCTTCCAGTTAACATTACATTCAGTCTGCAGTTAAAGTTTTTAAACATTTATTAGATTCATGAACTATCCTGGATTTTTACCAAACTTGGACAGAAGCTTCTTTCAATCAAAAGATAGTATCAAGAGGAATATTTTTATTGATTTACTTCCTCATTTTTGTTGAGCCTGCAATTAACAGAAAAAGTAGGCGAGACACTGGGTTCCGTGGAACCCTTACGAATTTTTAATGTATATTAGTTTGAAGTATTTTGATGATTTATTATCATACTAAATACTGTAAATGTTTATTGTTTTTCCACTCTTGAAAGTCTAGAAAATTAGTTGTTTTACAGTTTTTAGTATTCTGGACATATGGCTGAGTAAAAATCTCATTTTACGGACTGTCATTTCAAAAATAAGACCTTTAGAATTTCACATGGAAAAGTCCAGTAAATCACTGTGTGGTCCGTTTACTTGACCATATTTTCTGTAGCATAAAACGTTAAGACCTTCAGAATCACTGTGATTGTTGAATTTTATGCTATTTTAGACTGAACACAGAAAAGCGGGTAAATTAGCCCAAGTGGTTGTCTCATTGAAGGAACAAGAGAAAAATTTGCTTGATAATCTAGAAGAACGCTGGGTTAGTGTTGCGTTTTAATATAATTGTTACTGTAATAAAAGATTTATGCTGGAATTTGAACTAGAGATGTCAATTTCTATTGCCGTTTCACCAGATTTTGTTTATCATATATTACAGTACACACAAGGGGATTCTATTAAAAATCACTCATGGTCTTGGTTTTTCATAGGGAATGTTGGTGATTGTGGGTGAATCACTCTAAAAGACTTCTGTATATCCCATAAGTATGATTTGATACGGTCAGAGTGGATCTCAAGCAAATCATTCTGTTTCACAGTGATTCACCGTCTGTGTAATGTACTGTATGTAAAATTGACCTGAATTTAGTGGTAACTGATGTAAATGGGATAAAGTTTGAACTAAAGATTGATGTTAAATCATAGTTCAGGAAATCTGACATCTGTATGATCAAATTCCAGCATCAAAGTGCATGGTTGTATGTAAAAATTGTCAATGTGGTCCTCAGAAATACTGAAATTTGTACCATGGATCTTTTTTTTTCCATTCAGCCTTAATTTTCACAAACTTGAACAATTTAAAACTTGTTCAGCTTGTTTGCTGTGCTCACTTGCCACAAAGCTTCATATAGTGACTTGCAGCTAGTATTTTACAGTATCCATATGCAAGAAATCCTGATAATCGGTACAAATTAACGACATTATATTCCTGAGTAGCCATATTGACAATATTTACTATATTAACCTTGGTTATTAAAAGGTGACAGTATGATTTGAGAATTCTGTTTTCCTTACTACAGCAAGCTCATAGGGAGGACCTAGGAAAATTAAGAAAACTTGCAGATAGCCTTCAAGAACAAGAAAATAGCTATTTGGGCCTTCTTCAGCAGGCCTTGGTGAGTAGGTTTTCTAGCAGGAATTTAGCCTAGTTCCTTTGTATACACACACATATATATATATCTATACATATCGTGGTGAGTACACCAAGGGCTTTTATGATAGAATTTTAGTCTCAATCATGTATATTAGGGATTGAAATTAGTGGGCCAAAAAGCTCATTATTAGGGTTACCCCAAAGAGTAGACCTGAGCTGTTAAGAATTTATTGTCACTAACCCCTCTGGCTTTTAAAATTTTTTGCTCTTATTTTTTCATATATAACTTGCGAGCTCAGTTAAACACAGGCCTGGAGATAAAATGCAATTAACTTGAACCAAACTGACAACCACACCAAAACCATTAAATTTCATCCTCGTTTCTTAGTGAATACACAGAAGGCTTTTATCCTTATCCTGCTTTCCTATATTTATACATATGAATATTTATTCTTATTATAGGATTAAACAGTATACAATGATGTACATGAAGTTGCCTTGTACTTGCACATTTTAATAATTAAAGGTTTTTCCTATTATTGATATTAAATATCAAAGGTGAAGTGCATTATTAAAAAAATAAATTTTCTTTTTCCTCATGTTGGAGAAATTTTAAAATGTGTAATTATTTGAGTTGTCAATGTCAGCATGAGTTTGTTTGTTTATCACAATTTCTTGTTTTTCTAAACTTTTATAAAATACCATTTTATGTCATAGGAATTAGGTGTATATATATATATATGTTGCATCTGTTTATATTTTAATGTTTTTATTCTTTAAAGAATTTATCATTGAAGGCAGATCTCTGGTAGTGTCTCTTAAATGCATTTTAGACTTGCATAGACTTGGGAGGATTTTAAACATTTGGTATAATGTCAAAAATAAAATTAACAAACATTAGATTTGCCATCAAAACATAGTTCTTGATCAGACCCTCCCCCCCCAAAAAAAAACCCCACAAAAAAGCAAAAAAAAATGTATAAAATCAAAGACATCACCAATGAGGTGATGACTTGGGACAGGCACATTGACGAGGCTGGGGTCAAAATTGTTTTTAATACTCACCACCCCCATTTTATCTTAATTAACACAATTACTTAAGTAACACACACAGATGTACAGTGACATTAGTTTCACTAGAAATTACTTATAGCATACTAAATGGAATAGCTCTAACCATGGAGATGTTTTATTTCAGACTATGAAGGTAGAAAATACTGCTGTGGATGGTAGAGATGACGCTCCCCGCCCTGATTCAGCCGAGGACAGACAGTCTGTTGACATTGATGTTAAATCAGAGTCTGATGAAACAGCTACAGTAAGTCCTTACTCTTAAAAGATTTGTTTTGGTTGGGGTTAGGGGCATGTAGATTTGTATTTAATTCAGAAATACATTGATTCTTCAAGTTTTGTCATAATATCTTTTTTTATTGAAAACTTGATTGTTCTATATGAAGATGATATTTGTTAGTCACACAGGTTTGCAAATATGAATCATGTTTGAAAAAAGATAGATATGGCTGAGGACTACTTCAAAATTATTAAGCATCATGGAATAAAACGGCTAATACATTGTAATGTTTTGGGAAAGAAATTCCAAATATATCTTTCTGTGATACCTTCTTAAAAGGTACTTGTACTTCATCCAAACACACTCGATGATTGCTTTCCTTAATTGCAGAAAGTTGTGGTTTCAGTTCTTCACAGATTTAAACTATTAAAACCAAAGCTATTAAAATATTATTTGCTGCTTATCCACTAAATTTGTGGTGTTTAGTAGTAAGAAAAAAGGACAGATTTTTTAAAAGTCAAATAATGTGCCTTGGTAGGGTCCTCTTTTGGACTTATTTTGTGAGGTTACCCATAAAAAAGTTTGACCTCTGCAAGGTCAAACCATTGCGAGGTCAAACCATATAAAGTAAAATTACTTTTAATAGTATTTGTTCTTTCTCCAGTGAACTTGTGCAGTTAGTAATAAGAGCAAGAAATGGTAGCCTTGGAGTTGAAAATATGTGCACCAATCTACCTTTGGACTTATCTTGTAACATGCTAAAAATCAGATTATATTCTTTTCTTGAATTTGATTTATTAAAGACTTCCCCTGTGGGTTGAACATTATATTGTTCCGAAATATAATAAATCGTATTTTTGTTTTTTTCGATGATTATATTACGTCTGTGGTTTGATAATTTGTGATTTGCACTAATTATTTTAATTTGTAAGTGTCCTCTTTGATTTGGTTGATTTTTTGTCTTATGTTTTGTTCCATTACAACATAAATCATGTACAGTTGAAAATTTTAATCTTATCATTGGAAAAATAGTTGAAACAAAATTTAATTATGTTTAATTAAAAAATCCACTTTCAATGTTCTTTTTGAACATCTGTGTATGGTTTGTTTAAATAAAAGACTAAGTTTTTGCATTGTAACTGCTTTTGGTCCAAAAAAGTAATATTTTGCAGAAATTTCTTCATTGATTTTGAATAGTAATTAAAATTTTTTTAAATTTGTCTCAAAAAATTTAACATGTGTTTGAGAAAAAAAAGTAAATTCTTTCCTTAAAATTTAACATCAATTAGAATTTATTTAGAAATGTTGTAATGGAATAATTACTTTAATATATTACTCTATTTTTTTTGATGTTCTAAATATTGTAAACTTTGATTGTGGTTACGGGAATGAAAAAATAGCTTTAATTACCAGGTTCAACATAAGTGGCCCTCTCCTCCAGTTGCTTCCTTAGTTTTAAACAAATAAAGTATTCTTCCCGTTTAAAACCATATTTTATCCACTATATTCAATAAGCAATGATTTTTTGTATAATGGACAATTTTGTAAATATCATAATCAACTATCATTTTATATTATGAATTATTCAACCAATCAGCCATTTATCATGTTTATTGAATGATTGTTTAATATTAATAAACCTTTTAAAAAGTGCACACAAAGTTAATTTATATGTTGAATAAAAATGAGAATTATACATCGGCCAAATAGAAAATTGTAATAAATGTTTATCTTTCTAAAAAGAGTGTAGTTCACTTTAAGGCTGTTCATAAAAACATATATGGGACCCAGGGAAGGCACTTTGAAATCTCTACTATGGGTGGGTGTGGAGTACAGTGGAAATGTAATTGAAATTCTAAATTTGCCTCTATAGGTGGTTACCCCATTATGAAAATGCCTTCCCTGGTTACCATGTATGTTTTTATGGAACAGCCCTAGTTAATTTTATATTCCGATATGAGTTTAGCCTTATTTTTTTCCCATTTTGTTGAAATTTTACAATTGTCACAAATTTCCCCCTTAAACCAATCAAATTTTTAAATGATCATTATCTGGCAGTAGAAAATCCTGAGTACGTAAATAACATGATACATTTCACCTAAAACATCAAAGAAAATTAAATAACTTTCTAATATAAAAAAAAATATGTAAATTTCCTTCTTTATCTTTTCTTTAACACTCTTTTCTTCCCCTTTGCTTATTTTTGCAAGAGTTACTGTTCTTGTGGGCAAGTATTAAGATGGAAAAATTCTGCAGTACCTGCAAAGTATCTTTTTCACAAAAAGTTCCTTTTAGGAAAACACAAATCATATAGAAAATAGATATATGATATTCCTTTTTTATTTGACTGAAATTCTTATTACAGCAATTTGAAAATTGCATTAGAAACTATTTATTGAAATACTTGCTCCAAGAATGTAACTCTTACAAATGGAGGTATGAAAAGACCTCTTGTACATGGATGTGTTTCCTTTTAAGGAGCGCAGTCCTAGTGCATCATCTCGGCCAAGAATTGAAGATAAACTTGGTATGTCTGAAGACGAGGATTTAGATGATGGCACTTCTCCGTTCTCTGTTGACAGAACACTAATACCAAGTCGAAACTTTGACCAGGTATGACCCACAAAATACTATTAGTATATGCAAATTGGAATAGGGTTATAGGTTAAAATTGGTCAACTCTTATGATTTGAAGGTCACAGAGGAGTCTTATATTGATGAAACGTGCGTCTGACGTACTAAATTATAACCTGGAACAAGTGGTTTATGCTGAAAGTGTTTGTCGTGAATTAACAAAAACAAGCTCATTTAATTATTTGTTGCAAATCAGTCAATGTTTTATTATAAACTGCTTTTGTTTTTTTTCTTTAATGTATTTTGTTGTATAGGTGTATTGGTTTTATTTATTTCTGTTTATTTTATATGATTAAATCAGGTGTATACACTAAAGCTTGTTGTAAACAGCAGAAATATTGTTTCGGTAATCAAAATGTTAATATTTGCTTGTTATGTGGAAAACCTAATTTGCTTGTTTATGAATTGGAACAGAAATAAGCTTTATAAGATTTCTGCTTCTTAATTTGATTTGAATAGAAGACTGCGAGGAAATTTATGTCAAGTTATTTAGGTAAATTTCATTTGAAATGACATTGAGGTGGCATGAATTATTTTCATACAAATTTTGTGATCTGTATATATTTTGTGTACAAATTATACAAATTTTTATACAAGTTATCAGTATTTTGTAAACCTTTAAATATAATGTGATTAAACTAAAAAACACTGCCTTTAGTTTAGCTTATCACTGTCATTAAATTTTCAAATTTAAAATGCGAGGCTTTCCGAGTGTTTTGAATATTTAAAATTTAACTGTCGATTGTGGATAAACATCGTATTGCATGATATTTGGTGGTGGAATCTGTTTCTCTAATGTTTTTAGATGATATACAGAAAAAATTAATCCTTCTTTTTTGAATAATCTGCAAAAAGATGTGTTCTTTCAATATGACGTCATCAGGCATGGTCGCTTCTTTCAAGACGCCACAATGGGAATTTCAGAGGAGAGCAAGACAATTTGATGTCATAATCAAGTTTTGACCAATGAAGAACTGAGATCAAACGAACCACAAGTTGATTAAATAAAAATGATCAACAGTTCAGGAAAAGGATGAATCAGCTAAGAATTAGAAAAAGTCTTTTACATAGCACTGATACACAGTAAAAGAACACTAAAATTTATTTTGTAGACATAGAATCGGGTATTAATGAAAAAATACATATAGAATCTAAACCAATCGGGTGTCTCCATTTCCAGTTTTATGACAAAGAGAACAGTGCTTAACGTTGGGTTGAAGTTTATATTTTTTTTTTTTAGTGAATCAATTAATTATTGAAAATACACTAGTATCACCTGACGAAGAAAGTGTGTACCAAAATACTGATAACTTGTACAAAAGACCCTGAACAAGTTATATATATATATATATATATATTTGTACAAAATTACAACTTGTACACAACATATATATATATTATGGTCAAAGTTAAGATTGCTTTTTTGAAATGGGGGGCCTGAGGATGCGGTATAATATCAGTGTTACACCAAGCCATATTGAACATTAAATGTATTGTCTAGATTGAACCTTGTTTCATATAACTAGTTGCTCTATTTTACAGGATAATGATGTTGATGAGGGTGATCCAGAAGGTGATTTGATGGCTTTGCGGCAGCAACAGGAATTACTCCAGAAACTGTTGCAACAGAAAGAACAGGTGTGAAAAAATACTTTTGATTTTTCTTTTTTTTGGAATACCAATTTTTGTGGAATTGGGCAGGTAATGGTTAACCTAAAATTTAAATGTTCAACGAAGTACAAATTTTCTATAGGCTTGTATGCAGACTAACTTTGCCAAAAACCACGAAATCAAATATCCAGGTAAATTCGTTTTTTCCTCAATCCACGAAATTAGTTCCCATGAAAAAAAATTAATCCACAGTTAGAGAAGTCAATTTTCCAGTTAGTTTCATTTTTTTCTGATTTGTTGATGATTTGTTTTTGAGGAAATATTGGTTTTTTTTTCATACTAGACTTAAGTAAAACATTCTCTTTTTGTCATGTTCAAAATTAGAAAAGTTGTAGGGATTCATAACTGTCCAAAATTTTCTCTGCCAAATTTGAGGCAGTGGGCAAGAGTAGTGTTGGGTAACTAGACCAAAAACGTAATCAGTTTATATTAGAAATTACTAGAATTGTATTATCATGTAATTTATTGATGTATAATTGATAATATTTTTGTTTTAATACAAAAGTCAATTATTTTTGAATTCATCTAAACCATGAGAAAGATTTTCTTTGTCATTTAAACTTGTGTTACTAACATGAGATTGTGCTTTTTTGATGATAATAAAAAATATCACCAAAATGAATAAAACATATTTAACTTTGACGCAATACATCATATTTAAATATTATTGAAAACATAATTGATTATCAAGACAAATCATCTATCATTTTAGATAATCTTTCCAACACTAGTCAACACAAGTAAGATCATGAAATTAGTTATATATGATATGGAATAAGGAGATGTGGTATCATTGACAATGAGACAACTATCCAAAAGAGTTCAAATGATGTGGATATATGGAATTGTAGGTCACCATGAAGCCTTCAAGAATGAGCAAAACCCATACCGTAGAATCAGCTATAAAAGGCCTGGCCATGACAAAATGTGAAACAATTAAAAAAAAAAACATACTTTCCTTTATATTTTACAGATGACAGCATTAAAAGAAAGACAAAGATCCCTAATAGCTCTGCAGAAAGATGCTGAAGCCAAACTTAATGAAGCCAGAGCGTATGAAGGTAGGAAAGCAGGTGATGACCATTTTATTTTTAGGTGAAACTGTGGATTCATTATTAATCGCTGGGTACAAAAATTTTCGTTGGGTTTCTAGGGTACAGGTTGACCATTTAATCGTTCAATGAATTACATATTTTCCATAGGCTTGAATGCAAATATTGGCCAAAGCACAAAATCAAAGTTTTCCTCATTCCACGAAAATTGGTTCCCACGAAAAAATAAATGAATTCACAATACATAATTTTCAGAGCAATTATAGTTTTGATTTCCTGATCACCAAATGGACCAGTAAAAACTTCTTGTTGTAAAAGAGTAGTTGTAGCTATTGGTATGACACAGATTAAATTTCATATTACAAAGGCTAAACATGTGTTCCCAAAACTCTATGGTGCAGCAAATACTGGCATTGGTGTAGTTAAAACAACTTACTGTTTAATGGAAAATTTTATAATGACTAAAAAGAATCCTCATTTTTGTCGAGTCTGCGACTTTTGTCACAAAAGCGAGACATAGCGATCCTACATTCCGTTGTCGTCGTCAGCGGCATCCACAAATATTCACTCTGTGGTTAAAGTTTTTGAAATTTTAATAACTTTCTTAAACTATCCTGCATTTCAACCAAACTTGGAAATAAGCTTGTTTATGATCATAAGATAGTATCCAAAAGCAAATTTTGTAAAAAAAAAATTCTGTTTATCCGTATTTTACTCATAAATGGACTTAGTTTTTCTGCCAGTTAACGTTACATTCACTCTGTGGTTAAAGATTTTCAAATTTTAATAACTTTCTTAAACTATCCTAGATTTGTACCAAACTTGGACAGAAGCTTGTTTATGATCAAAAGCTAGTATCTAGAAGGAAGTTTTGTAAAAATTTATTTCCTTTTTTTCCGTATATTACTTATAAATGGACTTAGTTTTATTCCAGTTAACATTACATACAGTCTGCAGTAAAAGTTTTTAAAACATTTATTAGATTCATAAACCTTCTTGGATTTTTACCAAACTTGAACAGAACTTCTTACAATCAAAAGATAGTAATATCTAGAGGAAAATTTTTAATAATTTTTTCCCCATTTTTGTTGAGCCTGCGACTAACAGCAAAAGTAGGCGAGACACTGGGTTTCACGGAACCCTTACAAATTTTTATATTCATTAATTGAAATGTGATTGATTGTGAACTAAATCATACCTGTGCGACTTTAAAATTGTTTAATCGTATCACTTAATGGTCAGGTAAAATATGTCTTTACTGCAATATTTAATCAAACAAAAACTATGAATGGAGAATTAGACAATGCAATCCATTCGTTAAATCCAGATCCTCATGTTGAAAAGAAGGCTGAAACAGTAAAAAAATGTCACAGGTGCAAAACAAAGTTTGTCATTTACACATCTTAAGATGAGTACATGCCTAATTAGAATTAAAGGACTTTTTCGTGGCCATTTATTTTTCATGTTTTTTTCTTGATTGTGAAATAAGTGGCCACGAAAATAAGTTGGTTTACAATCTGTAAATTTTACCATGGAAACTGAATAATCTTGAATCCTTTATTAATAGCATCCATGAACAGTCTAGGAGGACAGCAGCCTCCACGTCAGAATCGCCCAGCTGCTGATAATATTTTTGCCAACGTGGAGTCTGATGGTACACCTAGCTCCCTGCAGGACATTAGACAACATTTTAACTTACTGAGGAATGAGCTGAAGGAGACAGTCAGTGCTGGTTCCAGGAAAGTGGAAGTATGAATAAAGTCTTTGTTTTTAGCAGTTTTGATTTTTATGCCTGCGCTGTAGCGGAGGGGGCATTAAGTTTTACCCTTGTCTGTCTGTACGTCTGTCCGTCCGTACGTACGTCCCAAAGTTGGTTTCCGTTCTCTAACTTTAGTTTGCCTCTACCAAATGTTATGAAACTTATACACAATGCTTATTACCACAAAATACAGATCATGTTTGAATTTTGGTGGCGTCACTTTTACTGTTCTAGAGTTATGTCCCTTTATAACTTTATATGATGTGCAAGCGGGGGTATCATCTGTGTCCATGGACATGGAATTTTTCGTTTCCGTTCTCTAACTTATGTTTGCCTCAACCAAATGTTATGAAACTTATACACAATACTTATTACCACAAAACTCAGATCAAGTACAAATTAGGGGTAGCGTCACTTTTACCGTTCTTCAGTTATGTCCCTTTATAACTTTATATGATGTGCATGCGGGGGTATCATCTGTGTCCATGGACACATTCCCTATTTATATTTTAAGCAATACACTAGAAGGTTTGCCTACAGCTTAACAAGTGTTCAATATCATGACAGTGTTAATAGCCAATTTGAATAATAACAGTAAACACTTAAGGCTGTTACATAATTGAATGTGTGCGGTCAGGAAGCATTTTATTGAAATTTGATGGGTGCCACTGAGGTATAAACAATAGCTTAAAGGTTGTATTAAATTGTAAGTTTTGTAGACAGTAACATTCAAGCTATTGGGCATTTACACACAAGAAAAATTCACAGTCTTGCAGATTTAAGAAAAAAATATAAAAGACTGCAGCACTGATGATTGTTTATTAAGTCTTAACACTGAAGAAAAATGTTCATTCTTGTAGCTCAAAGAATATTTTCACCATTACTGTAAATTCATAAATTATTGCAAGGTTTTTATAAATGCGACTGGGTGATTATCACAATCATAAGAACTCACATTCTGAAATCTGATGCATATATCTGTATGCAGCTTTTACTGAAATCGCAATAATTAATCTCACATTTATGTCAATTCTTCAAAAATCGCAATAATAAATGCACACAATAATTTCTGAATTTACAGTATTTAAATTCAAATGAACTTTTCAGAAAAAAGACGACAGGACTCGACCAAGTAATCCTGCTATAGAGGCTGCTGCTAATGAAGCTGCTGCTGCATTAGATGACAATCGTTCACAGTTACAGAACAAACTGGAGGAATTACACGACAAAAAACAGAAGATGGATCAATTACTGCAGGAGTTACAAATTCTACGATCTGAAAGAGTGGAAGATATAATGAATAATGGACTACAAGATAATAGTAAGTTACAGAGACTAAGGACTGCGGATTGTAATACTGTATATTGGGTTGTTTTTGCATCAGGTTTTGTTAATGGTTTTGGCCTTTGATGGGATAGTTTAATGCTCGCTTTGTTTAAAATTCATGTTTCATGGGTGTTCACATAGGGTAAGTTATATATTATGAAACACATGAACATTCACTGATACATTAATACGGTATGTTTGTGTTGTATTTTGTATTAAAGACAATATTGTATAAAAATGTATTTGTATATTTTTTATGAAGAATTATATCATCATTCATCTGAAATGTTTGAATATTTCTTAAATAGTAATTATTTGTTCTTATAATTTCTGATACTTTTAGTCTGTTGTTTTCCTTTTATGTTTTTGTCCTTTGGCATTAAGGTTGATTCCTACAATTGTTGGGTCTGTACGTTTTGATTTTTTTTGGGTCACAATCCTTAAAATATTGGTTTTTCATAGAGTCTGGTTCCGGATTATTATTAAATATTGCTTTACCTGAAATTTGTCATTGAACAAGATCAGTCATTTCCCACCATAGTTTGATGAAATAAGTCGACAGTTACATTAGTGAATATTTTGGAGGAAATCTGGGTCAATTTGGCTGACCAAGTAACCGCAGAAACCAGATGGGCAATTCAATTTCCACATTTAGGGGTTCAGACATGCCAATGGATGATTCTGAATTTTAGAAGATGATGATGATGATGGATGGCTGCTTAACTGAATTTTAGACCCTGTATTATATATTGATTTGATATTTAAGGTACCAGTGCAGCTGTACCTAGAACAAACTCCCAGATGAGAATATCTTCCTCTGAAGCTGCATCACAACATGCTGAAGCTACAGAACATGATGCTGAAGATGTCCTTAAAATGTTGGAGGCTGAAGAAAAATTTAGGTATGGACACACCAAATTGCTGTAAACTCTGAAAATAGTGCGAGGTTTTTAATAATATAAATGATGCAACGGGGTGACTTTCGCAATAATAAGAATTTAAATTCTGAATTTAGATACAAATGTCTGTATGCGGGATTTCATGAAATCACAATAAATCCAGCATTATAGTCCATTCCTCAAAAATTGCAATAATAAATGTGCACAATAATGTCTGAATTGACAGTAAATTAAATTTAGTTTTCAGGATTTTAGCTGTAAAAAGAGAAAGTTTCATGCAGGAAACAAATCATTTTTAGGGGCCAAGTGAGCTTTTCTCATCACTTGGTGTCCGTCGTCTGTCGTCGTCGTTAACTTTTTACATTTTGAACTTCTAGAGAACCACTGAATGGAATGAAACCAAACATGGCATGAATGTTCCTTATGAGGTGTTGACCAAGTGTTGTTACTTTGAAGCCGATCCATCATCCAAGATGGCCGCCAGCGGGGGACTTAGTTTAACATAGAACCCTATGGGAAATACATACAAATGTCTTGTTTTAGAGAACCACTGAATGGAATGAAACCAAACATGGCATGAATGTTCCTTATGAAGTGCTGACCAAGTGTTGTTACTTTGAAGCCGATCCATCATCCAAGATGGCCAACAGCTGGGTACAGTGTTTAACAAAGGACCCTATGGACAATACATACAAATGTCTTCTTTAAGAGAACCACTGAATGGATTGAAACCAAACATGGCATGAATGTTCCTTATGAGGTGCTGACTAAGTGTTGTTACTTTGAAGCTGATCCTTCATCCACGATGGCCGCCAGCGGGGGGACTTCCTTTAACATAAGACCCTATTGGAAATACATACAAATGCTTCTGCTAGAGGTGCACTGAATGGAATGAAACCAAACATGGCATAAATGTTTCTTATGAGGTGCTGATGAACTGTTGCTACTTTGTTGCTGATTTACTGTTCAAGATGGCCACCAGGATTTTTTATTAAATTACAGGGCCAATATTAAACCAAATTTGGCCTTACTCATTATTAGGGTATCTGTTATGATTTTAATCTATTTTATCATGATTTCCAAAACCAAAGTAGAATCAGGTGAGCGACACAGGCTCTTGAGAGCCTCTAGTTTATTATCTGGGTCACCCACTAGTAACCTCTCGACTCCATCCATCTGTCCAAAAAACCTTGGGAAGAAAACAGGTGTTTAGAAAAATGACAGTGTTATTACAGAATGGGTCCTTTTCTATATAAGGAAATAGTAAATGGAGATATTAGATTGTAGATGAAATAGATTGCTACTCATATTAAAGTTTTGTACAGCTTTGAATATAAAATTGTCTTTTTATCTTTGTTTATATCATATTATTCGTCTTTGGGGCTAGAGAGTAAAATGATTCCATTGTTACACGACTTTTCTTCAGAAAATTGAAAGAGGTGAAAGAGAGGCTGAATCAGTTAAAATCATTGATGCAGTACTACCAGGCCGAGGAAGAGGACAAAGAAAATGATGAGAGAGCTGCGTATCAGGGTCGTCTAGAGCAAGGGTCAATACCTGTCAACAATGAACAGTTAACGTGAGTCCTGAAATTAAGAGAGATCAAGGTTTCATGCTAAGGAGAATGCTGATTTATAAAAATCAAATGTGAAGCATGCAACAGCTATTGTCAGTACAATGAAACAATTAATTCCTAGATAATATCTGTCTTTACATTTCACAGCAACATCATAAATAAACGTTGACGTTGTCCAATTCAACTCAAATTACACTTATTTTTTCGTACATTTCTATTTGAATAAAAAAAACTTCTGCAATCTCATATGGTTAATTTTCAATCTTAACATGAAAAGACTGTATTTTTTTCAGCATTTTGCTTCCTGCTCTAATATATACAATCCACTACGGGAAAATTTCACATTTTAAATAAAAAAAACTGGTTCTTTTTTTTGCTTTTTTTCATTTGTAAATTGTTTCAAAGTTGTCACTTCTAACATTATAGCAATTTTCAGACTACCCTTGGTAATCTTTTAATATTCACAGTATGCTTTTTTATCTACACACAAGGGGTCTCCATGGTTTAGTGGTCTAAATTATTGATCTACAGTGATTACTACAGTGTCAACACTGAGATTGTGAGTTCTACCTCTGCTCGTTGTAAGGTGATTTCTACTCCGATCTAAATTGACTAGAATTGCCAGTTTTCCTGCTAATTCTCTATGGGCATTCCTGCTTCTTACACCCATAAAAACAGGTCAATATAATGTAGCCATGAGTGGTTAAAATAGTATTAAACACCAGCAATCAATCAAACTATGCACACATAAATACATGAAAGCAAGGCTTATTACTGTATTCTTTTATTACAGTGAGGTACCAGTAGAAATAGTTTGTTGTGAATGTGGTGTGGAGACAATATCTGTTAATTACTGCATTCTTTTATTTCAGTGAGGTACCAGTAGAAATAGTTCGCTCTGGACGTGGTGTGGAGACAAGATCTGATGATGAAAATGAATCTGAGAGTAGTTCTAACGAGGAGGGGACAGAATCTCATCTCTCTAGTCTTGGTCCCTGGGGTGATGACCCAGAAATACAAGAGAAAGTCAAGTATGTACAGGAAATTAAGTGACATGTCGGCAACTTTGAAATATTAATTGTTGATGATAAGATTCTGTTAGGTATATGTCTAATGAAGCCCAAAAAAACAAAAGGCATCTACAGGTCAACTTATAGTCTTCAAAATCAGACTGTCTGCTATGTCAAGGAGACAGCAATCCAAGAACAAAAAACAGAACTCATCTACAGGTCAACTTATAGTCTTCAAAATCAGACTGTCTCCTATGTCAAGGAGACAGCAATCCAAGAACAAAAAACAGAAGTCATCTACAGGTCAACATATAGTCTTCAAAATCATACGGTTTCCTATGTCAAGGAGACAGCAATCCAAGAAACCCAAAAAACAAAAGTCATCTACAGGTCAACTTATAGTCTTCAAAATCATACGGTTTCCTATGTCAAGCAGACACAAAAACAAAAGGCATCTACAGGTCAACTTATAGTCTTCAAAATCAGACGGTTTCCTATGTCAAGGAGACAGCAATCCAAGAAGCCCAAAAAACAAAAGTCATCTACAGGTCAACATACAGTCTTCAAAATCAGACTGGTTCAGAAACAAAAGTCATGCTCTAAATGTCCCCAAATCATAAGAAAGATGTTTCCAGATTTCACAGAGACTATCTAGAATATGCCTTTAACACCAACTTCCTTACTTAGATAATAACTTAGACATATTGCAATGCTGTTTTAACTATGAATATAAATAAAAGGAGATGTGAAATGTACGTCAATGTGACAGCAACCCAAATGCTATGAAATCAAATGAAGTTAGTATTATGCATATTTGTCACTGGACAGCTTAGGGCTGTTCCAGAGTTAAACGCATGGGGAGATTGAGAGGCACTTTTTTAAGGCGCTGACCACCCATGAAATAAAAAATATCATTTTATGATTCTTACAAAATTCTGATGAAAACGCAACCATCCATATATAATTAATTGGAGTGCTTCCAAGCCCTTCCCCCCACTGGATAAATTTTTGAACAGCCTTTAGGCATTGTATTGTCTGTTTATTGTAGGAAACTAAAGGCAGCAAAAGACAAACTAAAACAGTTACAAGATCTGGTGTCGATGGTACAACATTCTCCTGATGCTGCCCAGCTGTCGTTACCAGAAAACCTAATGGAGCTAGCAGGAAGTCTAGATGACGGGGAGTATACAGAGGTGATGGACAAAGGGACAGAACTCAGTGAGGGAGAAATAGCAAATGATCAGGAGGAAGAACGGTAATAGCAAATAGTGTCCCATATTATGGTAACTCGAATAAATCAGTCCCTCCCCCTGATCGACTGTGCTTCGCACAAGGGCCTCAACTCTACATATTATAAAAACATGTCATGAATACAGGATTTTGATTGGTGCTCTTAATCAGCTGATTGATTTATGTTATCGAGATAGGTAAATCCTGAGCTAATTCTGAATGATTAATTGAAGATTTATTATTGACTAGACTTTCAGGAGTTAATGAAGCCATCCTAGAGCAGCGGAATATAATGACTGAATTATTTGGGTTAATATTATGGATGCTCACTGTTAAAACTTTTTATTCTCCTATATTTGTATTTATACCTAGACTCTTGCAAGAATATTGCATTTGCCTTGTCCAACACATAAATTTGTCAGTTTTATCAGGTACAGTAGACTCTGGCAAATCAGATACCCAAAATGTCAGCAAAAAATATCCCATTATCCGATATATTCAAATAGACGATAAATGTATATTCATTGAATATTCTACAAAAATAAGTAGACCTAATCCTGAGATGTTACTAGCCCTGACCACTGCTATATATAAGAAAGGGCTTAATTGATTTTTATCAGTTATCACCATGATGTTCGTGTAAAAAAAATATCAGCTGGTTATGTAATGCTCATATTTGTTTTCAGTTTAAATCCTATCTTTATTCAAAATAATTCAAAAGTCCTGAAATATTTATGTGAATAAATATCTACCATACATAGTTTGTGTCTTTATTTCATTTGTTGTAAACGAATTAATATCCATTATTTACATTTATCACAGGTAAGCTATTTGGGCTATAAATAGATCAAGGAATTTTCTGTTGTTGTGTGTACAATCTCTAAACTAAAATAATATTTGTCATATATTTTATTTCTTTTAATAATCAAGTTTGAATTTATGAAGATAATCATGATTGATAAAATATTATTGCATCAAGTTTAAATTTTCTGAAGACTGTTTGTATTTAGGTCATGGTTCTCGAGGCTGCTTCACACATTTTGTAAACAAAACAAAATGGCATCCATGACATCGTGTGTGGTCCAGCACATGTTACAAAATTATATATGACAAAAGTCAGATTTCTCTTGTCTAAAGGGATTTATATGTATATTGCAATAAATTATTCAGAAGGAGGTACATTCAGTTCGAATTATATTTCTGATTCTGTGAGCATTTTGAGTTTTATCAAAATTCTCCCAACGTACTGCTCTTGTATATTTTATTTTTATAAATAAATTCAAACCATTTGAATTTAAAGGGCATCTAATTCACATTACAAAGGAAGACAATGAATAAAGACAACAATTCATTAAGAAATGGTTCCTTTTTATCTAATGAAAACTAAATTTTCTTGTCTGCAAGATTGTAATTTCGTAACTTCCAGGTCCATTTCCTGTCAGAAAAATATTGAAAATATCCGATTGTGCATAGTTTTGAACAAAATTTCCTGAATATTCTTATCCGATTTGCCAATATATTCATATATCCGATATTCAATTACATGATGAAATTAACATTAAACATATAGGGAAGGGTTTGGTGTTTTGAAATAATATTACAATAGCCGATATATTCGTTTAGCTGATATCCGATTAGGTGGAGTCTACTGTACTACAGAAAAAAAAATAACTTCATATTTACTCAGCAGGTTGACAGTGATCAGTTATAAAGTGGGAGCACTTCAGTAATCTTTCAGACACAGACTTTCTGTTGCTATAACTTAGATTTTTTCAATATGTTGAATGAACTTGATATTTTTGTTACACATTTCTCCAGTTGTACTGAACAGAAGGACTTCATATCTGCTCTGTAGCTTGACAGTGTTGACAGTGATGACTTGTAACATGTTAGCACTTTTCCCATCAGTAAGATATGAATTTCCTATTTTCAGATACTTTGAATTACAAGTGGGATTTGCTTACCATGATAACGTGACTATAATGTTTTGTTTCTTTATTGTTTATCTAAGCATTGCTTAAAACTCATGAATTGTGAATTAAAATTATTGACATGTATGAACTTATCAACAGATATCACATACTGCTTTTCATTTTATATCTGCAAATTCAAATTTCATCAAAATGGAGTGAAGTGATTGATGAAACATGGATTATCTGGGAAAATGCTAGTTAAATCAAATGTTTTACATTTCAGAGACACTTTTTATGCAGCTAAGATGCAAGAACAGATGGATGAGTTAGATGAACTGAAATCTGAACGTCAGCGGCTACTGAACATACAACAAGAATTACAGACATTAAATGCTAGATTTCCAACTGTAAGTTACACAACAGAAATTATAGACATCAGAAATTATAGACATTAGAAATTATAGACATTTAATGCCAGATTTCCTGCTATAAGTTTGAAGTCATATCTGTCTTTGACTTCCATTTCAATTTGAGTTTGAAGTCCTTGTAATCTGTTTGTGACTTCTCTTTGAATAAATGGTATATTTTCTATTGTAAGTTTAAAGTCATATCTGTCATTGACTTCTCTATGAATAAAGGCTAGATTTTCTATTCTTGATATTAAAAATTGTATTTTTTTGTTGCTAGATTTCCTGTATAAAAAATTTAGCTCTTTAAGAGCCTTTTAATTTTCCTTGTAATCAAGCACATACAAATCTGACTTCCTGTTGTTGGGGTCTAATTATGTGACATTAACATGTTGTCATCCTGAATATTCACGTAATATTTGATGCTGAACTTTTATAATCATCAAAGATTTTGTCGCTTGTGTCATTCTGCACCATATCATACTGCTTCCCCAAAAAACAGGGAAAAAAAACACAAAACATATTGAGGTCAATATACAGTCTTAAACAATAGCTAATTGTCAATACAGTATATGCCAAGCAGAGTAGAAAAATAGTGAATAAATTTTACAGACTTAACAAATTTCTTCCATTCACGCCATATCTCCCAAATAAAAGACCAGTTTCCATATTTTTGATAACCGAATAAAGACTTCCCTCCTATTCCTCATTCAGAAAAAAAAAATATGCAAAAATGCAGCATCAAACATAAACTTGAAAAATGAAATCTGAACTTGTGTTTTTCGAAAAGATATTAAAAAAAAAAAAAAAATCAGATTTGCATAGGATCCTTTACATGAAATTTATAAGCACATGCACTACTGGAAAGTACTTAATTGCATACATGAATCTATAAATAACTCTATCTTCTATTCCAGTCAGAGGTTGCAGAAGGAGACCAGGAAAGAGATGCAGAACCAACTCATAAAAGACACAAACAATCTAAACAGATACCTGATGAACCTGAGGTTGAGGGTAGTGATAGGGCTCCTGTAGTCACGTGTAAGTAGTACCTCCTATTTCTTAGTAACTAGCAGCATGTGGCATCTTTTGTCACATGCATGCATTTGTAGCCACCAATTTCTGTCTGGTCACATGTAAGGCAAGGCAAGATGGGTGCTGTTTGGCACTTGTTGTTACATGTAGGGTTCCCCTTACTTTTGGGGGTACTTTGGAATCATCCATTTTCGTGGAAATATACAATATTAGGTCAATATCAGAAAAATATAAACTTTTTTGTATGAGGCTGAGAAACTGGGGAAGGGCAAGGTTAACCGAGCCCTTCCCCAGTTTTGTGCTGAATACAAAAAAGTTTATATTTTTCTGACATTGACCTAATTGTTTTTATACTGCAACTTGAATTAATACATTATTAGCTATTTAAATTTTAGCGCAAATTTCAAACTTATTTTCATCCCTAAATGAACCCCTGATTTTGGAAAAAGTGTTCCATGGTGAAATTGACATTGCATAAAATATAGCTTTGTTACTATATTTAGGAAATAAACACAGCTAGTTGCAGTATAAACCAATTTTCATAACTTCACAAAAATTATATTGTCCTGTATACTTGATTTCGTTGTTTTGTCAAAATGTCATTACAAGTCAATAGAAAATTTGCACTTTGTTGAGCATGTAAATTTGTGGTGAAACAATACCCATAATTTCCAGGAAAATTGGTATCACATGAATAATAATGATTCTTCAGTATCTTTCCTTATAAGAAATTCATTTTCTACTTAACCCTTTTAACGCTATACACAGCATATGCCGCGATGACGTACGCCGCCTGCTGTTCACAGCATATGTCGCGATGATGATGGATTTTTCATACAGACTCGTAACCATTCGGTTTTCATTCGGGTCCTCTCTAATTTTTCCTTGTATGAATCAAGGTCCCGTTTGCGCTTGAATTCGCGGGAATTTTAATGGTAAAAGCATGCAGTAGAAGAAAAATTAAAAAAATATTTTGACAAATGCAAATGGCGGAAATTGAAAAAGACGCTGTAAATATGGAAATATTTCAGCATTTCTATGGCGAAACTGACAACGAGGAATAGTTAAAAGGTTTCCCGTTATCTCAATGTGTTAATTACATTCAATTCGTGTGGGAAATATAATTTGGTCGATCTTTAAGAGACGTAGAAAAAGGGGGAAAGGGAGGTTGACTGAAAATTTTGAGGACGGAGCCACTTATTTGCGCCACGTTTACATTATGCATTGTGTATGGTGCATGTACGCTACGGAATCAAGCAACTGGTGTCTTCTTTATTATATGGCAGATAAAACAACAAAATAAATGCAGATTAAAAGTTTTTTTTTTCAAAATTCAACACAAATACAATAATTTACACCTTTTACCTGTTAATTACCTGAAAATGCAGGTAGCTTGATGAAAATTTTACAAAAATAATTGCATAACATTACAGTTCATGCTCTCCTAAGCATTTTTCATGCACTAACTGTGTCTGTATCTCTAATAATAAAAAAGTTGCAGCAGTCTGAAAAGGAATATACTGTTCTAATGAATGAACACAAAAAAAATGCAGCAGCAGCAGCCATTTTTCTATTTTTTGTGTAGCGTTGAAAGGGTTAAGTTTTGGATAGTGATAATGCAACTGTTGTCACATGTAAGTATAGAGATTACACTTTTCTTTGGATACCTGTTATTAAGCACTTATTGCATAGCTCATCCCATTTCTGTTGATGGCAACTGCATAATTTAAAAATGAATAGATTTTGTATGATTGCCAATGAGACAACTCTCAACCAGAGACCAAATGACTTAGAAGTTAACTATAGCTAATATAATAAAGAAGATGTGGTATGATTGCCATTGAGACAACTCTCTCTAAGTATATTTTACAAAAATTAGAAAAATCTGTATGATTGCATTAAAATTATTTTATAATTTTCAATATAATTTTAGTTTCCTCCAATGATGAAGTTTATGACAAGATGAGAAGACAGAGAATGCTGAGAGAGGAACTCCGACAGAAAAAGAGAGAAGTTGAAGCTATAATGAAGAAAGATGGCTCAAGGAAAAATTATGGAAAAAATCAAGATGCTCAAAGTGACACGGTTTCTTTTTCAACTGATGCATTTGGGTAAATACTACCATACAATTGTCAGATGTGTATTCAGATAAAGATTGTTTTACTTTTTTTTTATTCAGAATTGAACAGTTATATGGAATGATTTACAATGTATTAAAATTTCAGTAACATTTTGTAAATTTTGATACTTAAAATTGTATGTAAGGACAGTTGGAAATATCTGTGAAAAAAGTTTGATTTGTATCAATAAAAGAACATGTAGGACAGAAGTTCATGAGGCAGATTCCTAACCACAACAACAACAAAATGAAAAATGGAGAAATGTTTTATCTCCCTTGATGCAATAGTAGAGAAACTATATTTCTCACAGAATGCATATCATTTGTTACACTTTACTGAAATAACCAAAGATTGCTTGTCGTTGGTGCATGTCTGTCATATTTGTTTTTCCAAAATTATTTTGTTATAGATAAGGCCGTTTGTTTTCTCGTTTGAATTGTTTCACATTTTTCATGTCAGGCCTTTTATAGCCAACTACACAGTATGGGTTTTTCTTATTGTTGAAGGCTGTATGGTGACCTATAATTGCTTATATCCACCTATTTGAACTCTGGTGGATAGTTGTCTCATTGGCAGTCATACCAAATCTCCTTATTTTTACAAAGGAAAATACAGTATTATTCAGAGTTTATATTTCTTCTACTTACAGTGGAGCTGCTAGTGCTGATGCTACCATGGCAACTTGGGGAGGTTCTACTGTAGACAACATGGAGAGCATCACAGAGGACGGGGTAGATGGGAACCAGGCTAGTGATAATGATGAAGTGGATGATGGTAAGTAACACAGGGGATCAGGACAAGGGCTTTAGTAGACAACATGGGAAGAAGCAGCTAGGATGGGGTAGATGGGAACCAGGCTAGGAATGATGAAATTAGATAATGTTAAGTATTAAAGGGGAGCTTAGGTGAAGATTTATTAGATTAGAACAAAAGACCAGTAAGTATTTACAAAAAAACTAACAAACAAAACATGGGTAAGTTATGTCAGCTTTAGTAGTAATATATTTTGAAAACAAACTTAAACTTTAATATTGAGGAAGACAAGATAGATGACTGAATATAGTAAAATTTTACATTTCTTACATAAATTGATGTGGAAATTTTCTAATAATTTCACTCGATTGTTTTAACTTGAATAAAATTCATGATTGAGCGAAATTATTAGAAGTTTTCCAAATCAATTTATGTAAGAAATGTAAAATTTTACTCTTTATTGAAATAACCAAAGATTGGTTGTTGTTAATATCCTTCATGGCAGGAATTGATGTTTAGCAGAAAATATTCATTTTGTTGGTATGAAATTGAATAAAACAGATTTTTTCAGAACTACACTAACCTTTTTGTATGACATATTTGAGTATATTTGTAGGATATCCCAGTGATGGTATTGTATATTTGTAGGATATCCCAGTGATGGTATTGTATATTTGTAGGGTATCCCAGTGATGGTATTGTTTATTTGTAGGATATCCCAGTGATGGTATTGTATAAGGGTATCCCAGTGATGGTATTGTATATTCGTAGGGTATCCCAATGATGGTATTTTTTATTCGTAGGGTATCCCAGTGATGGCATTGTTTATTGGTAGGATATCCCAGTGATGGTATTGTATATTTGTAGGATATCCCAGTGATGGTATTGTATATTTGTAGGATATCCCAGTGATGGTATTGTACAGGTTGAGGAAGAAGAAGAGGAATTCGACAATGAAACTTACACAATAGAAAATGATGTACGTCAGCGAAGAATGGCCAGAGCAGGGAAAACCAAGCAGAGGACTTATCCTCGGTCTCGTAATGAACCTAAAGGTGGGTGCTCAACTGGCATAGGGTTTAAAATGGGCAGGTTAAGGATCTGTTAATGCTGTAAGAGCTGTACTACAGAAGGATGGATTTTGTTACTTCAATATTTCCATGGTTTTGAGGAAACACAGAGGGGACAAAACTAACTAGTCCATGCAGCTACTCCAGGGAATAGACATGCCCTTCCTATTTTATCATCACAAGATTTTAGCGTTTAATACATTTGAAAAAAGAATTCCAAGGTTTTGTTATTAAAGTTTTTTTTTTTACCAAATCTAAGGTTTAAGTTATGTTGGCAGAAATGGACTGCCAATGCAGAATAGGTATCAATTTTTATCTGCTTTCAGTTTGCTTTAAAATTTTCTATGTTAAATTGTACTCGGATGCAACTTGTCATTAAAGATTTTTATTGGCTTCAAAATGAGTTGTGCATATTTTAGGTGGGGCTCGACCAAAGCAAAGAAGTTTTGCAAAGAAACAAAAGAAAAGTAGACAAAGACAAGAGGTTTGTATGGTCAGTTTGAAAATGTGTTTTGAGACTTGTTTTTAACACAAAATGATCCAAGCTATTTAACAGAACAAAAAAAGTAGTTCTACAGTCAATGCCTGTCATTTTTGTAAACTTCGGTTGACAGTTATCAAATAGAACTCACCTGTTGTCAGATAACGTATTTGTTTATCTGTATGACCTTAAAGTAATTCATTCAAAATAATAGAAAAGAAAGGATATCGTGGATAAGTTCATAACACATAATCGCTACACACACTTGAGAAAAAAAAGCAAAGGAACAGTGCTTTTATTGTCGTTCTTCTTAAGGTTTATTATCAACATAATATTACATAAACATTTAGGATATTGGAAAGGGCTGATGATGAGTATTGAGAATGGAGAATAAACATCATAATTATTAGACATCACAGGAACCACTATTGATTGATTTAATGTACTGATACACATACACTAATACATCTTTGTTTATTTCTACAAAAATGATACAAATTGACATATTTTACCTTGGAGATTGAATACATATTTTTTGTAGATTTATTTGTGGGTAAAAGCATTGTCATAAACACATAACTTGTGTGAAGCCTTTCAACACATGTGCTGCCATAAATGCTTTTGAACGCCAAAAAAATCTACAAAAAATATCTTTATTCAATTCATAAATGAAAATGTTCCTCTGGGTTGCGGGATTTTCTCGCTGTGTAGAAGACCAGTTGGTGGCCTTGGGCTGTTTTCTGCTCTTTGGTCTGGTTGTTGTCTCTTTGACACATTCCCCATTTCCATTCTCTATCTTGTATTTGATTTATGATTCAGATATTTTAAAAAGATATATTTCAATTTTTTTTCAGAATTTCAGGTCAGCAGAAGATATTATTCAGGATGATGAGCCTGCATCCTTACAACAGCAAATCGACAGACTTACAAACTTGTGTCAGTCTTTGTTACAGAGGGACACACCTGGTCCTCTCATGCAACCGTCTCCTACCGGTAAGTTACAGAACTTCTAACTAAAGTACAATTTATCTTTGAAAGGTATTCATAATCACTTAACCCTTTCACCGATAGCTGCCCAGACAGAAGCTACTCTGAGACGATGACTTCCCTGGCTACTATTACTCAAGTGGGAGATCTTCATAATAAATGTCAATAAAAACTTGTCTGTAGTTATTTGTGTCTTTATTTCATTCACTAACACCATGTTCACAGTTTTGTTCATGTTTTGATAATTTTTTCTTCATAAAATATTCAAATTTTCAAATTTTCGGCATTATCTAGGTGAATTCTCAAAATTCTGCTCTTTGACCCAAAATCGTAATTTTTTTAACCCAAAACGGCAAAATTTTGAAAAATTTAATGAGGCTGTACAAATTCCTTACACTGAAAGATGTCCATTCCAAGTGTTTTGTACATAAAACGACATTTTATGTCAAAAAAGTATACTAGTTTGGCTTCAATTCTTCCATATTCTTTCAAAAAAAATGTTCCCTCATTTCAAATTTTCGTAAATTCCGTAAATTTCCTCTGATTTTGACACGGTTTTCAACAAACGAAAGCGCCATGTTTGCACTTTCATCCGGGTATTCAACAAAGAAAGATAACTCGTGTTTGCACTGTTTTGAGCGGGAAATATAAAAGCGGTATTCCGTTCCCAGTAAAACGAGACTCATCGTCAGCTGTCTGAAGCGTGAATCCCAGTAAACCGGGACTCATCGGCGAAAGGGTTAATACAGAAATGTGTGATAATGTCTTTATTACGGAAAACCATCTAGTATAAAATATGAAGATGTAGTATGATGGCCATTGAGACATCTTACCATTAAAAGCCATCAGGACAAAAGTGAATAAAAGATTTGAAGTATATGTCACCAAGACAGCAACCCAAAACTAAATCAATTACGAGACACCAATACAAATTTTTAAATAATACTTCTATTGGTTCTAGGTCCAGACCTATAACATCTGAGGATTAATTTGGTTAAAATTTTCAGCCTACGGGTACCATCTGAACCCAGACTTTGATCTTGTATTTAGCCACACTTGTTATTTTTCAGCTTATGGGTACCAATTGGGGATGTCAATGAATACTCAAGTACTCTGGTATCGCTTGGTAATACCGAGTATCAAATACCAAAATAATACTCGACTAATCGGTTTCCGTTAAAATGTTGTTGCCTTCTTAAAGAAAAAATATTTTAATTAAGAGCGGCTCTCGGGGAATTAAATATTAATCAAAATTAAAATATGCTTCAAATGTTTTCGTTTAATTGTCATTTAATATTCCCTCGAACAGATGTAGCCTATGAACAAGAGCACATTTCTAAGGCTTACACTTTTAGCAAATCTGTGTTAGTCATTCTGTCACCTCTCTACTGTCAGAACAAATATTTTCATCAGCATGACTGTTAGTTACATAAAGTGGAGAAATCGACTCGTCCAAGAAAAATTTGAAAAGATAATACTTCTTAATAAGAACAAATTTGTTGCACCCTGTATCGACCCTCAGAGAATGGTTAAAGACTTCAGTAAGTTCTAATCATCACCCCTTTGTTGATCATTAAATGTGTTTTTTTACAATTCACAAATACTATTGTTTGAGTAAACATTTTTCTATAGATGTTTATAAATTAATTGATTAGATTATTGCCAGTTTACATAACTAGCGGATGTAGTAAATGAGCTATTAATTATGGTATAAAATTCCTGGGACTATTATCTAGTCCTAAGTAAATAATGTTGAGGGTTTTATGTCCATAAGACAACGACCCACAATACGTAATATGGGTATAATTTTGTGTTTCCATTTTGTAAATGTTTTTCCGTGCGAGTACTCAAGTATCGCTCGGTAAATCTAACGAGTACTCAATTAGTAAATCTTCACCGAGTTGACATCCCTAGTACCAATAAAACCGACAATTGATTTTGTACTGAGTCACACTTGTTATATTTTCAGGCTATGGGTACCAGCAGAACCCTGACATACAACAACAATTCCAACAACAGCAAAGTTTGATGATGAATCAGTGTCTTCAACAAATGTGTATGCAACAGATGGAATTACAGAACCTTCAACGGCAACTCAACATGTTCACCGATCCCTACGGTGGCGACATGCGACTACGGTCTTTACAGTCACTTCCTACAGACAGTCGCAACATGTCCCCTAATCTTGAATCTCGACAGCAACCTTTTAGTGTTCAAGTTCCTCAGTTCCCTAGTAGTTACTATGGCAATAGGCGAAGTAATGATAGCTCGCCACAAATGAACAATGAAGGCTTGTTAATGAATCGGTCATCGTATGGTCAGGGTAGTGGGAAGAAAGCATCTAGTGGTAGGAGTAAGAACAATTATGAACAATATTATTCTTCTGAGAAAAAGGAAAAGTCACCGAAAAACGTACAAGAAAGAAGTCAAGAATTCCAAGATACCCCCATGCCATTGTTAAATTTTGATGAACAGAAGAATAGACGAAAGTAAGTGTTGCTATTTTATAATAGTAGGAGAAATCTCAAAATCAGAAAATGTTGGTGAATTACGCTTTGTACTGACTATAAATTTCATTCATGAATGGCTTGTGTTTTATAGAAGGAACTGACAAACCAGACATTGGATCCCCACATGAACTGCTGGCTTAGGAGATAATAATTACAACATTACTTGCAAACTATATATGTAATCAGGTGCTGTTCACTTTTTGTGAATATATATTTATAGATTATCGGTCGTCATCTCAACGCGATTGATTTTCTCGCTTGATCCGGTACGGCAAAAGCGAGAAAAGCAATCGAGTTGAGATGACCAATGATAATCTGTTTATCAATATTTTACCTATGACGACGTTGATAATTTCATTGACAACAGCACTTGCACCCTTAGTTTCTAGCGATAATTTTTCATATCACTCTACTGTGCTGAGAAAGGAAATTATTAGTCAGTAAGATCAAAGGAAAATTTAGTAAAATAGCGATAAATCATGTTTATAATGTTTTAGTATTCATAAGTATTCATTCATAAGACATTATGAGGAATATAACTAAGGCACACATATATGATACTTATTGGAAGTTGATTTTATTTTATTTGCAGGTTAAATGCAGCAAAAGATTGGTCAACAACATCATTAGCATCTGATAGTAAACATGGATCAGGTAAGTTTAATTTAATTCAGACATTGGTCAGATCAGTTAAATTTAATATAAAGGTTATGGGTCAGGTCAGTTAATTTTGATTCAATCATGGATCAGTCAGTTAAGTTTTGATTCAGTCATGGATCAGGTCAGTTAATTTTGATTCAGTCATGGATCAGGTGAGTTAATTTTGATTCAGTCATTGATCAGGTCAGTTAATTTTGATTCAGTCATGGATCAGGTCAGTTAATTTTGATTCAGTAATGGATCAGGTCAGTTAATTTTGATTCAGTCATTGATCAGGTCAGTTAATTTAGATTCAGTCATGGATCAGGTGAGTTAATTTTGATTCAGTCATGGATCAGGTGAGTTAATTTTGATTCAGTCATGGATCAGGTGAGTTAATTTTGATTCAATCATGAATCAGGTCACATATATATATTATTCATATGCATGGTTTGATCAGTTATATTTGATTTTTATGCCCCACCTACGATATTAGCGGGGCATTATGTTTTTCGGTCTGTGCATCCGTTCGTTTGTTCGTCCGTCCGTTCGTCAGTCTGTCCCGCTTCAGGTTAAAGTTTTTGGTCAAGGTAGTTTTTGATGAAGTTGAAGTCCAATCAACTTGAAACTTAGTACACATGTTCCCCATGATATGATCTTTCTAATTTTATTGCCAAATTAGAGTTTTGACCCCAATTTCACGGTCCACTGAACACAGAAATTGATAAGTGTGAGTAGGGCATTCGTGTACTAAGGACACATTCTTGTTTATGATGATTTTTATTCAATCATGGATCAGGTAACTTGTAATTGTTTCATTCTCAATTCTGTCACGGTAGTCTAAGCTTTACAGTATTCAGCGGTGGATGCAATACTATCAAATGGGATTATTCCCAAAATAGCCTGTCTTTTTTTTTAAACAATAAATTATTGGTCAGAAAAAACCTTTCCTCTATCCATGTTTAAAAATATCGTGCAACTGTCCAGATGAAGAACAACAATAAAAGTGCCATTATTTTCTTATTATGCCAATATGCATTAAGTCTAATTCCAATCGGCATGTATCATGACAACCAAAAAATTTGTAAGTTTACTTATTTTTACCACATCACAAATATGAGACGAAAATTTATGCAAGGGTTGATTAATTTTTTATCCAGACAAGAATTTTTTTTATTTGGAGTAAAAGGTACTGTGGATTCATTTATTTTTTTGTGGGTGCTAATTTTTGTGGATATTTAATTTCTTTGTTTTGCCGAAGTCTGCATACAACCTCATAGAAAATGTGTCATTCGTTGAAGGTTTAAATTCGTGGTTTACCTGTACCCACGAAGTTCACTAAAATTGGTATCCAGCGAATAATAATGAATCCACAGTAATAAAGGTTAGTTTTGCAGAGATAACTGATTCTTAAACTCTGACAGCCATTCAATCACAAACAAGGGTCCGGAAACGGTCATATTTGCCAGTCATGTCCTAAGATGAAACTATTTGTCCTAAACGAGTAATTGGGATTTAGGACAAATTTTATTTTTTTACAGAAGTAATTTCGGTCATTTCATTGACTCAATGTTTGAAATCAGATTTCTTAATTGCCATTTTGCACTTGCGATCACTTGTTTTTGTTTATAATCCCTTTCCTGTAATAAAACTGCCACTACAGTAGTTTGATAATCCTGAGGGCCCTCCTAATATCTATATCAATGCCTCTGGGAAACATTTGCTAATGATCGCTAATCACTTTTTACCTGTGGTTTTAATTCACACCTGACAGTGATCACAAGCTCAGAATAATATCTTTAAAACATTAAAGTTCCCTGACAAGTGTATTCATTATTTATTTACTTTTCATCAAAGGCAGTCATTAATTCTGATTTAAAAATTAAATCTAAATTAACGTAGAAAAAAGTATTATTTCATGAGTAACACATGTGCTTTATTTACTATGTAATACGCATGCGTGAAATTGTCTTCAGCAAATTTATTATTTAATCGTAAAATGCAAATTGATTTCATGCTAAATTAAACGAGTGCAACTATTATCTGTTATATTAAATCACTTTTAAAGGTAATAAAATAAAAAAGCCATAAAAAGCCGGTGATTTCCTGTTAGTTTGATAAACAAAACAAATCCCGGAATTATTCGTACTTTAAAAATATCGCAAACTTCCGGTTTTAACTTTTGTCAAATCGAAAGAAACGTAAGCAATGTCTTGAGAAATTAACCATTTTGAGTCATTAAAATCATTTCAATTTTAGACTGTTGCCTTCCCTAAACTGTCCTTCATGGTAATGGTAAGATATTTACTTAGTTAATGCGATGAAACAGCAATACAAGTTCGTTATGTTCGTTGATGCTATGAATATAGTCAAGTTGATATCGACAATTTGAAAAGGGGCACCAACTTTTCAAACATCTCAAAATGACCGAAATTGTCTGGAAAATTTTTCGGATCCTTGATCACAAATTTAACATTCATGATAAATAGTATGTAATCTCATGTGCATGCATATCAATCATTTCTTATGATTAAAACAGACATGTTTATTTTTCTAGAGAGACCAGATAGAGAAGAAGATGCCAGAAGACAAGGGTTGTCGTTGAGAGCTCGTCAGCTGTTAGAAGATATGTATAGACCAGGCCTTAGTGCTGGAATTAGTGGAGCAGGTTTCAGGGAAAATATCAGCATTGCTAGTACTATGTCACAAGCCCAGGAGAGTCCTGGTAAAGATACAAGGTAAGAACTAAGTGCAGGTATAAGTGGGACATACCTCAGAGAAAATAGGAAATTGGTATTTTGTTTAACACTTACAACTTTACCATGTATGCCCTGAAAATATACAAAAATTATCCAGCATACTACCTTTGCTCCATTTGATGTTTTAGTAATTACCTTAGCTGTGGTCACGGTTGATCAGAATGATAAAAAATTGGAATTATGTAGTAAAGCATTATCTGTACCTAAATTTGAACCCCACTTGCAGTTGGTGGTTTGCTGCAATCGCCTTGCCTGTCTATTACTCTATCTGAAACTTTCTTAACATATGACCTCTGTATTAAGGAATGATTCAATAAGTCTTGAACTTTATAATGTTGAGTTGTACTTTGTTAAATGATTTTTAGATCACTTCAGACACTTCTTGAACTTTATAATGCTGAGTTGTACTGTGTTAAATGATTTTTAGATCACGTCAGACACTTCTTGTTTGATGATTTTTTATTATACCTGCTGAGCTTTTCTGAGTAAAAAGTGCTTGAAATCAAGTTCAAGTTTGGTGGTTTTGACATTTCGCCTACGGGTTTACTTTGCACAACATCGCAAGCTTTTGTTAGCTCACCTGGCCCGAAGGGCCAAGTGAGCTTTTCTCATCACTTGGCGTCCGTCGTCCGGCGTCGTCCGTCGTCGGCGTTAACTTTTTACATTTTGAACTTCTTCTAGAGAACCACTGAATGGAATGAAACCAAACATGGCATGAATGTTCCTTATGAGGTGCCCACCAAGTGTTGTTACTTTGTAGCCGATCCATCATCCAAGATGGCCGCCAGCGGGGGACTTAGTTTAACATAGGACCCTATGGGAAATGCTTACAAATGACTTCTTTTAGAGAACCACTGAATGGAATAAAACCAAACATGGCATGAATGTTCCTTATGAGGTGCTGACCATGTGTTGTTACTTTGTAGCCGATCCATCATCCAAGATGGCCGCCATCGGGGAACTTAGTTTAACATAGGACCCTATGGAAAATACATACAAATGTCTTCTTTTAGAGAACCACTGAATGGAATGAAACCAAACATGGCATGAATGTTCCTTATGAGGTGCTGACCAAGTGTTGTTACTTTGTAGCCGATCCATCATCCAAGATGGCCGCCAGCGGGGGACTTAGTTTAACATAGGACCCTATGGGAAATACATAAAAATGTCTTCTTTTAGAGAACCACTGAATGGAATGGAACCAAACATGGCATGAATGTTCCTTATGAGATGCTGACCAAGTGTTGTTACTTTGCAGTCGGTCTATCATCCAAGATGGCCGCCAGAGGGGGACTTAGTTTAACATAGGACCCTATGGGAAATACATACAAATGTCTTCTTTTAGAGAACCACTGAATGGAATGAAACCAAACATGGCATGAATGTTCCTTATGAGGTTCTGACCAAGTGTTGTTACTTTGTAGCCGATCCATCATCCAAGATGGCTGCCAGCGGGGGACTTAGTTTAACATAGGACCCATGGGAAATACATACAGATGTCTTCTTTTAGAGAACCACTGAATGGAATGAAACCAAACATGGCATGAATGTTCCTTATGAGGTGCTGATCAAGTGTTGTTACTTTGCAGTTGGTCCATCATCCAAGATGGCCGACAGCAGGGGACTTAGTTTAACAAAGGACCTATGGGAAATACATACAAATGTCTTCTTTTAGAGAACCACTGAATGGAATGAAACCAAACATGGCATGAATCTTCCTTATGAGATGTTGACCAAGTGTTGTTACTTTGCAGCCGATCCATCATCCAAGATGGCCGACAGCGGGGGACTTAGTTTAACATAGGACCCTACGGGAAATACATACAATTGTCTTCTTTTAGAGAACCACTGAATGGAATTGAACCAAACATAGCATGAATGTTCCTTATGAGTTGCTGACCAAGTGTTGTTACTTTGCATTTGATCCATCATCCAAGATGGCCGCTAGGGGGGGGGGGGGGGGGCTTAGTTTAACATAGGACCCTATGGGAAATACATACAAATGTCTTATTTTAGAGTACAACTGAATGGAATGAAACCAAACATGGCATGAATGTTCCTTATGAAGTGCTGACCAAGTGTTGCTACTTTGTTGCCGATTTACTGTTCAAGATGGCCACCAGGATATTTGATTAAATAACGGGACCAATATTAATCAAAATTTGGCTTCAATCATTATTTGGGTATCTGTTATGATTTTTATCTATCTTTACATGATTTCTAAAACCAAAGTAGAGTCAGGTGAGCGACACAGGCTCTTGAGAGCCTCTAGTTTATTTTATTCCTTATAAATAAATACCCTCTAATCTTCTTTATTACAGAGAATCAGACGATGGAGTAGACTTGTCCTTGTTTGAAGCACTGAGAGAGGGTATATATGCTGAAGTTGCTACTTTAATATCACAGAACGAAAACCGACCACATTTCTTGATAGAGTTGTTTCGAGAATTACAGAAATTAAACACAGATTACCTACGACAAAGAGCTTTGTATGCCATCAGAGATGTGGGGTCAAAGTTCCTCACAGAACAAAATAATGATACATCTGTTTCTGCTGTAAGTTGATTAAGAGTATTTTTTAAAGAAGTATTTTTCCTTCAATGAATAGGAACATTTAGAATAGAGTTGTATGAATGAGAGAAAATACATTAACATTTAATCATGAAAGTGTAGATTGAGACTGTCAATTTTATACCTTTTTTTCATGAAAATATGATCAGTTTCTTTGGACTATAATGTACAAATTTGACCTATACTGTATGCTTGCTAATGTTGAAGGCCGTACGGTGACCTATAGTTGCTAACTTCAATATTATTTAGACTCTGGTGGATAGTTGTCTCATTGGCAATCATACTAGGTTTATAATTTTGAACGTCAGACGCATGAAACATGTTTTGTCTACATAAGACTCATCAGTGATACTCAAATCAAAAAAAGTTAAAGGCCAAATTAGGTACAAAATTGAAGAGCATTATGGCCCAAAAAATTGCCGAAAAGTTTTGCCAAATACACTTAAGTTAAACCATGGTGTTGAAAATCCTTAATTTTTCACACTGCTAGTAAGCATTGATAATATTAAAAGTATTGGCCACAGAACATGCAGAACTAACAACAAAACTTCACTGTATTGGTTTTTTTTTCACACTTGAATTAATATGCTGTTAGATTTAATTTTTCATGTAATTAACTTGTACAACTTAAATACAGCCAGCTCCAGATTTATTTTTACATGTAATTTACTTGTACAACTTAATTACAGCCAGCTCCAGATTTATTTTTACATGTAATTTACTTGTACAACTTAATTACAGCCAGCTCCAGATTTATTTTTACATGTAATTTACTTGTACAACTTAAATACAGCCAGCTCCAGATTTTTTTTATACGACCGCAAAAAAATTTTGTGGTCGTATATTGGTATGACGTTGGCGTCGTCGTCGTCGTCGTCGTCGTCATCGTCGTCGTCCGGCGTCGTCGTCGTCCGAATACACAATGGTTTTCGCACTCTAACTTTAGTATAAGTGAATGGATCTCTATGAAATTTTACCATAAGGTTCAATACCACAATAGGAAGGTGGGGATTGATTGTGGGGGTTATGGTACCAACAGTTAAATAATTAGGGGCCAAAAAGGGGCCGAAAATAAGCATTTTTGTAACTTCCAGACATAACTTGTGTGTTATTATATGGATCTCTTTGACATTGTACTACAAGATTCCATATCACAAAGGGTCGATGATGGGATTGATTTTGGGGTTAATTTCCTCGAAATTTTAGGAATAAGGGGCCAAAAGGGGGCAAAAAACAAGCATTTTTCTAGTTTCATGACAATAACTTGTGTGTAAGTGTATGGATCTTTCTGAAATTTTACTACAAGGTTCCATTTTGCAAAGGGAAAGCTGGAATTGAGTTTTGTGGTAATTGCCCAAAACGTTTAGTAATAAGGGGCCTAAAAAGGGGTGAAAAATAAGCATTTTTTAGTTTCTAGACAATAACTTGTGTTCAAGTGTATGGATCTCTCTAAAATTGTATTACAAGGTACCATACCACAAAGGCAAGGCTGTTATTGAGCTTGGTTTGGGGGGGAAGGGGGGGTGATGAATCATAGGGGGGGGGTAAAAAAAGGGGTAATTATTTTTTTTCGTTTAAGGAATAAAAAACTAGGGTTTCCATTTTAATAGACAAATAATTGAGTAAAGAACATTATTTAACAGCAGTGTAAGGTTGGTAATTCAAACTCATTTAAATATCTCACCTGCACTATGTTTGAATTATGTAAATTGGAAATTTGCCAATTATTTTAGTATAATAAACTTCATTGGAAATTTGCCAATATAAAATTTTGCTGATGAAGGTTTTTTGTTTACCTTTAGTCTGACTATGATGTCATTTTCTATTTTAATAGCCTTATGATGTAGTTAAATTTTTTTTAATACTTTTATGATGTATTTTAATGCGCTTTTATGGTTGCAAATTTATTGTTTTAATATAATAAACTCCATTGGAAATTTACCAATAGTTTGTTTAATTTTAGCTATGACTATGATGTCATTTTCTATTTAATTTTAAGGTTACAAATTAATTTCAGTTTTAAATATTATTGTAAAATGTTTGCCCAAAACATTTATTAATAAGTGGCCAAAAAAGGGGGCAAAAATAAGCATTTTTTTAGTTTCCAGACATTAACTTGTGTTCAAGTGTATGGATTTCTCTGAAATTGTACCTAAAGGTACCATACCACAAAGGGAAGTGGGTCAAAAAATTTTGGGGGGGGGGGGGGGGGGGGGATTTTTTTTCCTTTTTTTTTTCTTTAAAATTTTCCATTTTAAGTTGGTTAATTCTGATCACAAAGAGAAAGTTGGAATTGAGTTTGGGGGATAATTGCTCAAATGTTTAGGAATAAGGGGCTAAAAAAGGGGTTAAAAATAAGCATTTTTTTTTAGTTTCCAACAATTAATTGTGTTTAAGTAATTGGATCTCTGTGAAATTGTACTGCAAGGTACCATACCACAAACTGAAGGCTGGGATTGAGTTTGGGGGGGCGTGATGTGTGAAAATTTTCCACTTAAAGTTGGTTAATTATTTCTGATTTAGATATAAAAGCAAATAATAATGATGTGGTTTGATTTTATCAAAAACTTAAATTGAAGTTATGTATATTGTAAATTTAGGTTACATTGGAATTTAAGAATTGGCTTTGGGGTAGGGTTATGGCTCAAACCTTTAAATAATAAGGGAAAAAAAGGTGAAAAAACAAGGGTTTCCAGGTTAATAGACAAATAAGTACAAAACATTATTTAAAAGCAGTGTAAGGTTGGTAATTCAAACTCATTTAAATATCTCACTTACACTGCTTTTAAATTATGTAAATTGGAAATTTGCCAATAACTTTATTGTTAATAAATGCATTGGAAATTTGCCAACAATTTTAGTATAATAAACTTCATTGGAAATTTGCCAATATAAAATTTTGCTGATGAAGGTTTTTTGTTTACCTTTAGCCTTGACTATGAAGTCATTTTCTATTTTTATAGCCTTATGATGTAGTTGAATTATTTAATACTTTTATGATGTGTTTAAATGGGGTTTTATGGTTGCAAATTAATTGTTTTAGTTTAATAAACTCCATTTAAAATTTGGTAATAAAAAAAAATTTTGTTTATTTTTAGCTATGATTATGATGTCATTTTCTATTTTACTTTTATGGTTGCAAAGAAATTTTTATTTTTAGATATTACTGTTAAATGATGCTGATTAAGATTTTTGCTATGTTTAGCCATGACTATGATGTCATTTTCTATTTTAATATCTGTCATGATGTATTTAAATGGGCTTTTATGGTTACAAAGGAATTTTATTTTTAGATATTACTGTAAAATGTTGCTGATTAAGGATTTTGTTTATTTTTAGCCATGACTATGATGTCATTTTCTATTTTAATACCTTTATTATGTAATTTCCATTTTTAGATATTACTGTTAAATGATGCTGATTGAGGGTTTGAATGCTGGGATTGATTTTGAGGGTAATTGCCTCCAAATTTTAGGAATTAGGCGGCAAAAAACAAGCATTTTTCTAGTTTCATGACAATAACTTGTGTGTAAGTGTATGGATATTTATGAAATTGTACTACAAGTTTCCATATCACAAAGGGAAAGCTGGAATTGAGTTTGGGGGTACTTGCCCAAAACGTTTAGGAATAAGGGGCCAAAAATAAGCATTTTTCTAGTTTCCAGACAATAACTTGTGTTCAAGTGTATGGATCTCTCTGAAATTGTACTGCAAGGTACCATACCACAAAGGGAAGGCTGGGATTGTTTTTGGGGGTAATTGTCTCAAAATGTTAGGAATTAGGGGCCATAAAGGGGCAAAAAAACAAGCATTTTTCTAGTTTCAGGACAATAACTTGTGTGTAAGTGTATGGATCTTTATGACATTGTACTGCAAGGTTCCATATCACAAAGGGAAAGCTTGGTTTGAGTTTGGGGGTAATTGCCCTAAACTTTTAGGAATTTGGGGCCAAAAAGGTGCAAAAAACCCAAGCATTTTTCTAGTTTCCAGACAATAATTTGTGTTCAAGTGTATGGATCTCTCTGAAATTGTACTGCAAGGTACCATACCACAAAGGGAAGGCTGGGATTGAGTTTGGGGGTGATGAATCATAAGGGGGTTTCAAAAAATTTGGGGGGGGGGATTTTTTTTTCCTTTTTTTTCTTTAAAATTTTCCATTTTAAATTGGTTATTTCTGATTTATATATAAAAGCAAATAATAATGATATGGTTTGAATAGGTAAATTAAAAAAATTTAAGTTCTTAGACTACTTTCATTCTGTGTGAGAAACCTATGCTGTGTCAAATATTTAATTACAATCCAAATTCAGTGCTGTATCAAGCTTGAATGTTGTGTCCATACTTGCCCCAACTGTTCAGGGTTCGACCTCTGCGGTCGTATCAAGCTGCGCCCCAGCGGAGCATTTTATTTACATTTAATTTACTTGTACAATGTAATTACAGCCAGCTCCAGCCTGGATGAACACAGATGCTGTCAATCAAGGATCTGATACAGAATCTACACCCAGTGAAAGTATCGTTACAACAGATATGGATGAAATCACAGTAAAATAAATTTTCTGTTTTTTTTTCCCCTGACTTATTAATTATATTTTGATAATCAATGAGTGGTATTCTTGTTTTCAGTTCTTTATTGGTCAAAATTTTGATAATGATGTCAGATTTTATTGCTTCCTTTGGGTTTTCTGTTGTGGCATTGCTAAAAAAGAGGACCATGCCTGATCAAGTCTGACAGAAAGAAAATTTATTATAAGGAATGATGAAAAACATGCTTTGTGTTTTCCTACATATCAATTATAAAGAATCATTTGGAGAAATAGATTCAATTGCTGTGTTTTATGTGATATGATATTTTTCAGTTCTTGATGGTTATACTGTAATATTTTATGTCTCAACATTCTCAAATGGACAAATGTCAAATCAAACTTTATACTGTAGTAGAATTTTTACATCTCCTGCACTAAGTTTTCCTACGTTTATGTCAAATATAACAAGAGTTATCTCCCATTTGGCAGAATTTTCAAAAATGCTGATCCCCCAAAGAACTTCTGTAGAATATAGAGTTTGCTTTCTTTATATTTTTAAATGTATACAGATATTCTTCTATCAACAATAATTAAGATATTCGGTTCAAAAACAATATTGCATATTTTAAAACATTGTGAACCATGCAAAGATGAGGAATTATTTGTATTTTTTATCTTCTTTTTAGCATTATTAACAATTTGAAAACAAATTAATGTTAAGAAAAAATACTAATTATACAAATCGAAAATAGCATGCAAATTAATGGGGTAAACTGGGAATTCAAAACTGCTGATCGTTGACTTGTGTTGAGAGCTTATTAGGGCTAAACCCAATAAAGGGGAATAACTCATGATCAGTTGTATTTTAAGAGAATGTTGAAGAATAAATAAATATTTGGATGTCTCAAAATAACTTTGACTTTAATGAATCATTAACATGTGACTGTATCCCTGTTACAGGATGCACCCCAGGGACGACGGACACAGTTACAGAACAACATGTTGTTACGTGGTGGATCTATAGCCAATGATGCCTTTGATTACATAGAGAATGCTGACAATGACAGCTCCCTGTCAACGCCTTCTAACAGTTACTGGGAGAATCCATTTGCACAGGATTCCCTTGGTGATACTGCCATTAACTTGAATAAAGTAAGTAAATTGAATAACAGATGGATGTTCTTATCCACTGTTACTTGAATACTGTACACAGGCTTATTTTCACGAATACTAAAGTTTGCTTTTAGCAGTTTCTATCCATCTTACTGATGATTTATTTCCACGATTTTCAAATATTGTTGCAGTATTTTATAAAAGGAAATATCAAGTTGAAAGTATTCGTAACTATTTATATTCACATAATTTTCTCCCCCCCCCCCCCCCTCGAAAGTTGTGTAAATAAATCACACTAGTAGTTGGTTTACGGTATCCATAACAAAACATGGTAAATGAGTTATGAATATAAAAAATTGTTTTAATACTAGACTTCTGAACAGAGTCAGATTTTTAATATGGTTGTGTACAAGATAACAGTTCTCAGGAAGACATGTAGCCTCACAGGTTCACATTATTTTTACCCTGAGCTGACTAGTCTCTGCTTTTTTACAGAACTAGCATATGCTTAGCAGATTGGCAAAAAATGCCAGTTTTAAAGTCTTTGGTTTCACATGACCAGGGTTGAACCTATGACCTCAAAAGTTTTAGAAAAGCATACTGCCATGTCACGAATAGGGGGTTAGTTAATTGATGGTTAAATGTTGATTGTCAAACAGTTTAAAACATCTATAAAGGTACCTCAAAATAAATACTGGAAAAATGATTTCATATTTCATATAAAATTTATCCAGAGAAAAAAATTGAAATTTAAAAAAGAGGCTAAATTTCTGTATGGGATTTTTTGGCTTGTTATTTTATATTTATCTTATAATGAACATTTTGGGATCATACAGTCTATCTTTTTCTGAATTTGTCTACAGCAATTTATTTTTTGCATTACAATTAGTTTTCAGTAAAGACTTATCTGTGTTCAGAAAAAGGAAGTATTAAAAAGTGTTCCATAATTTTTTGTAAAAATGGAGAAAAAGAACCTCCCTGCCTCATATTAAGTATCTACAGTTAGCTTGAAAGCTAAAATTTGTGTTGTATTTCTTTTATTTCAACATATTTAAATGATATATTTTCTATCAACAGGCATTACAGAAAATGAGAGAATGTGAAAAGAAAATGGCATCAGAGGAGGCCAAGGTCAAAAGTTTAGAGAATGCACGACAGAATCGTGAGCTGTCAGAACAATACAGTAGCTCTGCTGTAGACCAGGGGAGTGATAAAGAAAGTTCAGTCTCATCATTATCAGTAAGTCAACAGGTAACCAGGGTTAATATTCTAGGCATGTTGCCCTCTCACTTACTCACCAGTTTGAAGTTACCAGGCGGCACAGCTTTTTCTCTGTCACATTAATTTTCTTAACAGGTAATATACATACTGTGGATTCATTTATTTTCCTGAGGAACTAATTTTCGTGAATTAAGTAAAACATAATTTTTATACCCCATTTATTATGCCCCATTTTATGCCCCATTTATGGGCATTATGTTTTTCGGTCTGTGCGTCCGTTCGTTCGTTCGTCCGTCCGTCTGTCCCGCTTCAGGTTAAAATTTTTGGTCTTTCAGGTTAAATTTTTTGGTCAAGGCAGTTTTTGATGAAGTTGAAGTCCAATCAACTTGAAACTTAGTACACATGTTCCCTATGATATGATCTTTCTAATTTTAATGCCAAATTAGAGTTTTGACCACAATTTCACGGTCCACTGAACATAGAAAATGATAGTGCGAGTGGGGCATCTGGCAGATTCTATATAAGAAATTGAAATGTCTGTCAAAATGAATAAATAGATAAAAATAATAATTACTGTTATTTTAAAGATAATCTGTGAATGTTTTGAGGAATAATGATGTTAGAAGAAATTATAAAAATAATTTTTGGATATGATTGTTTCCGTTTAAAGTAGAAATGATTAAAACAAGTTGAAAAAATGCAAAAATTTTGACAGAATTAACTCCCATTTTTTTACACAATGTTTATGTGTTGCAATGCTTTATGTTGACACTTGTATACTGGTATTTACTAGTGTAGTCTGGTTATTCAAACATCCCTGTTCCCAAATTTGTTACTTTTTTTAGTCAAAAACATCTAGAGATATATATTTTTTTTCACTTTCAAATATCTTGCTTTATAGCTCAGTGTCTGTCAATAAATCTTATGTCAGGAACATCGCTGTTAAAACTTTCAAAATCATTGTAGGTTCCAATATATGCCAGTTAAAACTGTAAGTCATGCTGTGCGTAAGAAAAAACACATGTTGATTCTTTCATTTAACTTTATTCAAGCAATAGTTTTAACTTATATGTTTCCTACATAAGATCTGTCAAACTTGTTTTCTTATGTCTGAAACATTTGAATGTGCTCACAGTTAAAGTTCTTTGACCTGTAGTGAAATCTTGTTAGATGTTAGGCTGCAGTATTTTCCAGGAGTTTTAAAAATGACTTTCAACTAGGATTTGATTTCCAATGTCAGTCAAAAAAAACAAATATATATTTCTGTCAAAATATCTTATGTATGAAAAATCTTATGTCAGAATCAAGTCTGTCAAAATCTTATGTCAGAAACTCAATTTGTCTGTCAAATCTTATGTCAGAAATAATAAAGTCTGTCAAATCTTATGTCAGAAACAATAAAGTCTGTCAAATCTTAAGTCAGAAACAATAAAGTCTGTCAAATCTTATGTCAGAAACAATAAAGTCTGTCAAATCTTATGTCAGAAACATAATATTTAAGGCTTCGTTTATTTAAAAAGGATGATGCTCATAATTTTTTTTTTGGTCAAATTGTCTTTATCTTTATAAGAAAAGCATGTATTCAAAAACAGAAGTTCATTGCTTATGATTTTTGCCTAACGTGCTTATGGGAGTTGTTTCACTTTCTTATATGGAATCTGCCATCTGTGTACTATGGACACATTCTTGTTTTCTTGGATTTCAGGGTTTTTCAAAAGTCTACATACAAACCTATATAAAATTTTTATTTAATTTGCTGAATATTTAAATTGTTGTTTCACTGGTACCCACAAAATCCACTTAAAATTTGTATCCCACAAATACAAATGAGTCCACTGTAGTTTGAGGCATGTAACAATAAAACATTTAACTTACACTCACATACCCATTCTGATATTGTCAACTCTCCTTTTATTGTTGGGAGTCTTCCAATACTTAAAAACAAATGGAAATCTTTCTCTTTAGACTGGGTTTTCTGAATCCAATTTCCCACATATGCGGAAAGTCTTCCTTTTTCTCCCTCTTTAAATATTAGTCATTTTAAATCATTTTGGCCTGTTGATAAAAAAATGTGCATATGCAAACTTACTTGTTGCTTAAGCTATTTATTTTAAGAATTGAATTCTATTGAAAGTTAAATGTAGAAATATTTTTGAAAGTGTTATATCTACCTTCATAAATTAAGATATAATATTCTTAATAATTAGTTCCACAATAAATCTTTCTGAATCTTAGGTAAACAAAAATTTCCTAAGAGTGAGAACTCATAGTTTTGAAAGTTGACATCTATTAAGTCTTTTCACTGCACAGATATCTTCCTAAATCTTAGGTAAAAAGAATACCTCAGAGGAATGTCTCCCAGTACAGAGGTTTGACAAGTTGACACCTTTTCATTCTTTTCACTGCACAGTTTAAAAATTTATGTGATTTACACACGCTAGGCTTGCATTACCTCACTTAGAGTTGAAAGGCAGCCAGTCTGCCTTTTATATATTTTCTAGCAAATGAAGAGTTCAGAGTCAACCATCTTGTTAATATTGGACATTCTCTACCTTTTAAGGGGTTATCAGGCAACTATGCTGTTAAATTCATGAGATTCTCAACCTTGCAAAGATTTAACAGACCCCCAATGAATTTTTGATATTCTTTGCTATGTAAACAGTTCAAGTCAACCATTCCATGAAAAGTTTTCATGTTCAGTTCAAACTCTCTACAGAAATCTGGGCATTTTTCACTCTGTTTTATACCCAGGCTTCTAAGCATCATGGTTCTGTATTTTATTTCGCTTGAACATGCTGCTTTTCCAATTTCTTCTAAATTTGTTTCACATTGGGGCCATTTTCAAAAAGTCTGAATCTTTACTTTAATTCAAAGTATCACAGCCAAATATGTGCACTCTAAGGTTCTAACAACATTTTGGTTATATATATAATAAACGTCAGAAGAATGCAGAAAACTGCCATTTTAAGAGATTTTGAGTATTTATCACAAAATGTATAAGAAGGACATTGTCAGCCAGTAAAGCTATTTTAGTATATGATATACTCTCCAATACTCAATTTCCATTAGGACTTGACATGTTTTTAGATTTTGATCATGTCAGTGAAAGAATTACAGATATATAGTGATCAGTCTGTCTGTCTGTCCGTCCGTAACAAATTGTGTCCCCTCTATATCTAGAGATCCATTATAATTTCATACTTTATACTTGACATGTATATTAACTAACACCAGAGGGTGTGTCATAATGTTTGTACAACTTCCTAGGTCAAAGTCCAAGGTCAAAACTTAATAAAGTGCTTCATATCAGCTTCTCCATACACATTTTTATACGACCGCAAAAATTAAAAATTTTTTGGTCGTATATTGGTATGACGTTGGCGTCGTCGTCGTCGTCGTCGTCGTCGTCCGGCGTCGTCTGGCGTCGTCCGAAGACACATTGGTTTTCGCACTCTAACTTTAGTTTAAGTGAATGGATCTCCATGAAATTTCACCATAAGGTTCAATACCACAAAAGGAAGGTTGGGATTGATTTTGGGGGTTATGGTACCAACAGTTAAGGAATTAGGGGCCAAAAAGGGGCCAAAAATAAGCATTTTTGTAACTTTCAGACAATAACTTGTGTGTAAGTGTATGGATCTCTCTGACATTGTACCACAAGGTTCCATATCACAAAGGGAAGGCTGTAATTGATTTTGGGGGTAATTGCCTCAAAATTTACGAATTAGGGGCCAAAAAAGGGGCAAAAAACAAGCATTTTTCTAGTTTCATGACAATAACTTGTGTGTAAGTGTTTGGATATTTCTGAAATTGTACTACAAGGTTCCATATCACAAAGAGAAAGCTGGAATTGAGTTTGGGGGTAATTGCCCGAAACGTTTAGGAATTGGGGGCCAAAAATAAGCCAAAAATAAGCATTTTTCTAGTTTCCAGACAATAACTTGTGTTCAAGTGTATGGATCTCTCTGAAATTGTACTGCAAGGTACCATACCACAAAGGGAAGGCTGGGATTGAGTTTGGGGGTGATGAATCATAAGGGGGTTCAAAAAATTGGGAGGGGGGGGGGGGGGGGTTTTCTTTTTTTCCTTTTTTTTTTCTTTTAAAATTTTCCATTTTCAGTTGGTTATTTCTGATTTATATTTAAAAGCAAATAATAATGATATGGTAGGAGATACACACCAAACAGGATGTGTAAATTATTATATAATAAGTATTGTGCAATAGCAAGAAATTTTCAATTGCACAGTATTGCACAATAGCAAGAAATCTTCAATTGCACAGTATTGCGCAATAGCAAGAAATCTTCAATTTAACAGTATTGCACAATAGCAAGAAATATCCAATAGCACAATATTGCGCAATAGCAAGAAATTGTCAATTGTACAGTATTGCGCAATAGCAAGAAATATTCAATTGCACAGTATTGTGCAAAAGAAGATACTTCGTATAAATTGCTTATTTCTTGATCAATTTCAATGGGGTTTTATTCTTGAATTCTTTGGGTTCTTTAATATGCTGAATCTAACCGTGTATTAAGTTTTTGGATTTTAGGCCCCGTTTTTAAATTGGTCCACATTGAGGTCCAAAGGGTCCAAAATTAAACTTTGTTTGATTTCATCAAAAATTGAATTATTGGGGTTCTTTGATATGCCGAATCTAACCGTGTATTTAGATTTTTAATTTTGGGTCCCGTTTTTTAAATTTGTCTACATTAAGGTCCAAAGGGTCCAAAATTAAACTTAGTTTGATTTTAACAAAAATTGAATTCTTAGGGTTCTTTGATATGCTGAATCTAAACATGTGTTTAGATTTTTGATTATGGGCCCAGTTTTCAAGTTGGTCCAAGTTGGGGTCCAAAATTAAACTTTGTTTGATTTCAACAAAAATTGAATATATGGGGTTCTTTGATATGCTGAATCTAAACATGTATTTAGATTTTAGATTTTTGGCCCAGTTTTCAAGTTGGTCCAAATTGGGGTCCAAAATTAAACTTTGTTTGATTTCAACAGAAATTGAATATATGGGGTTCTTTGATATGCTGAATCTTACCATGTATTTAGATTTTTTATTTGTGGGCCCGCTATCAAATTGGTTCATATTGAGGTCAAAAGGGTCCAAAATTAAACTTTGTTTGATTTCATCAAAAATTGAATTATTGGGGTTCTTTGATATGCCAAATCTAACCGTGTATTTAGATTTTTAATTTTGGGTCCTGTTTTTTAAATAGGTCTACATTAAGGTCCAAAGGGTCCAAAATTAAACTTAGTTTGATTTTAACAAAAATTGAATTTTTGGGGTTCTTTGATATGCTGAATCTAAACATGTGTTTAGATTTTTGATTATGGGACCAGTTTTCAAGTTGGTCCAAGTTGGGGTCCAAAATTAAACTTTGTTTGATTTCAACAAAAATTGAATATATGGGGTTCTTTGATATGCTGAATCTAAACATGTATTTAGATTTTAGATTTTTGGCCCAGTTTTCAAGATGGTCCAAATTGGGGTCCAAAATTAAACTTTGTTTGATTTCAACAAAAATTGAATATATGGGGTTCTTTGATATGCTGAATCTTACCATGTATTTAGATTTTTTATTTGTGGGCCCGCTATCAAATTGGTTCATATTGAGGTCAAAAGGGTCCAAAATTAAACTTTGTTTGATTTCATCAAAAATTGAATTATTGGGGTTCTTTGATATGCCAAATCTAACTGTGTTTTTAGATTTTTAATTTAGGGTCCCGTTTTTTAAATTTGTCTACATTAAGGTCCAAAGGGTCCAAAATTAAACTTAGTTTGATTTTAACAAAAATTGAATTCTTCGGGTACTTTGATATGCTGAATCTAAACATGTGTTTAGATTTTTGATTATGGGACCAGTTTTCAAGTTTGTCCAAGTTGGGGTCCAAAATTAAACTTTGTTTGATTTCAACAAAAATTGAATATATGGGGTTCTTTGATATGCTGAATCTAACCATGTATTTTGATTTTGGACATTGGACCATAATAGGTAAATTAATAAAATTGAAGTTCCTAGACCACATTCTTTCTGTGTCAGAAACCTATGCTGTGTCAAATATTTAATCACAATCCAAATTCAGAGCTGTATCAAGCTTGAATGTTGTGTCCATACTTGCCCCAACTGTTCAGGGTTCGAACTCTGCGGTCGTATCAAGCTGCGCCCAGCGAAGCATTTTATTTACCACATGTTATTTACAGCGGGGCCCACAGAGATGGCTCCCATCTCAATGATGTCTAGTTGGCTCTGCTCCTTTTAGAGAAGAATACTGACTGTTCAGAATAATAAAGGACATATCTTCAATTTAGGCATTCACCTCAAGTTACATAGTAAAGATGCAACGACGCTGAAATCTGTTAATATTTGAATGTCTAGAGTGGGTGACATTTCCTTACCATGTATATCATGTATGAAGTTAACAGGCAACCAGTGTGAAATCAAAAAATGCTTCGTTTTCCAATGTTTCCAATATTCATATGATAACAAACTTGGTGAACTCTTTTAATGTTCATCAATAATTTCTTATATTATAAATGACAAGTGGAAAATATGCAAGACCAATAATTATGCATATTAAACTCACTTTTGGATTTATAAGCATGACATTCTGATCAATTTAATTTTTTTATTATAATTTTGTACATAACAGTGTTCTGGAACCACATTTATTAGTCTTTATACATTATTATCATTTGTCTTTAATTTTTGCATTAATAAATGTTTAATAAAAGTGTGAGTTTACAGAAGGAATAATGGCAGGAAAAATTTACAACAATTGTTCTAATTCTTGAACTATGACTTTATCTTTACAGCCCAAGATAGACACACAGCAGGTTGATCGACAGATTAAAAGCATTATGACAGAAATCATACCAGTTATCAAACAACACATGGATAATGTGTGTTCCTCAGAACTGCTGACGTACATCAAGAGATTAGTTCTATCATTGACTCGACAGCGTGATGGGAGTCAGTACTCCAGGTTCTACCATACCCAGTTAGGATCATCGCTGCAGGATACATTGTCAAAGTTTGAAGGCAGGAAGTAAGTTATTTTTCTATAAATAGACCAGACATGATATGAAGTACAATTGTAAGCTATGTTTTGTGTCTTAAAGGGGGTATTAGCTGTCAAATTCATGTTCACTGATTTGATTCAAATTCTCATATTTGATTTACAACATACTAAAACATATATCCAAATTACAATAAGTCTAAAATAAACAATTAATAATGCATGGACTCGATAATATACATCAGTATTTCGTGTGTATTTTAGTCTAGAAGCCATTTAATTAATCATTGAGATGACTTCCGAAGACTGCTGACGGTCACATAACCCGATATAAACATAAACATAAATATAAGTAGATACTTGACCTCGTGCAATTGGACTTATCTAGGTTTCTTTGATTTCATGTTATAGCTTGGAAAAATAAGTCAATCATCCTTTTTACCTGTATAAGAATAATATTAGTCTAGACGCCGTCTAATTAACAATCGAGATGACATCCGAAGACTGCCGACGGTCACATAACCCGATTTAAACATAAACATAAATATAAATAGATAGCAACCTCGTGCAATTGGATTTTTCTATGTCATTTTGATTTCATGTTATAGGTTAAAAAAATAAGTTAATTATCGTTTTTACCTGTATAAGAATAATTTTTTGTGGATCGAATCAGTCAACGAAATGGTTCACCTGGTTTCACTTTTAATATTGATATTCTCTTCCTTTTAATGGCTGAACACGACTAAAACATGTGTAACCAATCTCTAGCTAAGGGGTTAAATTGAAAGTCACATGAATACAGATTCAATGAGGTCAAATTATTCACTTGCAAGTGAATAATTCATCAGCAATGTTTCTTTGCTTATTTTGACAAAATTGAACTAAACTGGCTGCTAAAAGCGAATTATTATTTCATTATTTCACTTTGAAAAATGATTGAACAAACAAAAAAAAACATATTTTATTTTTTTTTATATCTCGCAGCTAATGCCCCTTTTAGTAAATGTTTGGTTTTTAGATTACTTGATATTTATATTTCATGCTTGCATTTAAAGTTGATAAAAGCAATCTGATTAGTTAAACCTTTATGTCTTTGCTCTCATGTCATGAATTATTGTAACCATTGAACCATCCTCAGGAAAGGGATAAATACTTCTTAATCTTATTATTGAAAGTTGAAGATCGGGTTTAATTTTATTTGCATGAACACTTTTTGAGGGTTTTTTCCCCTGTTTTCTGTGTTCTGGAACAAATGAAAATTTTACATGTGTGAATGATATTCTTTAAAACAGTGTCAGAAGTTTTATGCAATGAATTATCTTTATGGAAATTGATATTAGAGACATTTGTGTGTGTCCATTAAACTTTTGTATATTACAGAATGAAAGATTGTGGTTAAGATCTGTTAGCAGATATGTTGGAAGGTCTATTTGATGAGTTGTCTTTCTTGAGAGACATTTGTATGTGTCCACCATTTTGTCATTTTAACTTTGGTATATTACAGAATGAGAGATTGTGGTGAAGATTTGTTAGTAGATATGTCAGAAGTATTATTTAATGAGTTGGCTTTCTTCAAATTGATGCAAGGAATTGTGGATGTTCCTTCAACATCGGACCAATCACAACAGACTTCTCCATTTAAATCATCAGGAACACAGGTATACATTATTCACTTTACTCCTTCACTGTGTTTGTGTCCCCAATACTCTCTACACGGAGGCAGAGGGACATATTGATAGGCTTCTGTGAGTCTGTCTGTCCATCAGTATGTAACTTGTGTGAACACTACTTCCTTTAGACCATTTACCCTTTATGTTTTCCAGGATTGTAGTTTGGAATTGACCTTTCAAATCCCTATTTTAATTTGATGATTTTTGCAAATTTTATGGATTTTTTTTTGTTAAATTTGACTTTTATTGCATCCAAGCACTTTGTGAATGATTTTTGATTTGGTGACTAGTTTTTTTTACAGTGAATACAAAGTGCTATCAACATAACTCATTGTTAAGGTAAAATGAAATAATGTTTTTTCACACTTTTCATTTCTTCTGAATTTCCAGTCTACTCTTCACACTTTTAAAATAGATATAAGAAGATGTGGTATGAGTGCCAATGAGACAACTCTATATCCAAGTCAAAATTTGTAAAAGTAAACCATTGTAGGTCAAAGTAGCATGCCTAGTGACAAAACAGTGGAAAATATTTTGCTACTAGCAAAACCGTTTTGTATTGTATATATCAGGAGTAACTGATGCATGGGGACTTATTGTAACAGTCATATTTTTTTTCTTTGTAAGACCCAAGAAGTTGAGCAGGATGAGGAGGAGAATGATGATGAAGAAACTGATCAGACTCAGGAATCAGATACAGAAACTACATCCTCCACTGCTGAAGAACAAGCCATCAATACCTCTATCAAAATGGTGGAAAATGAGGAGGAGGAGTTAGGCAAGGTCAGAGTTCAAGTGCATTTCAGATTTACATAGTTCTCAATCATAACCTAACTTATCAAGATTTGATGTCAGACTTGTTGGCTTTAGGTGTACTAGTTGATTTTACAAAGGACAATAAATTGAAGTTTTACTGTTCAAATTTTTGATAATTCCTGTTGTACTTTTTATGTTTTATTCAAAAAAAGTGTCAATAAAATATTTCAAACTGTAGATTGTCTATTCAATAAAAAATGAAATTGAATTAAATGAGTGAATTTTGTTTTGTATACAGAGCAGAGATGATGACTTTGCTAATGAGGTACAAGTTAAGGATTCTGAAGACAAAGACGAAGACACTGAATCTCCATACAAAATGTCTCCAGTACAGATAGAGCTGGCTGTGTCAGAAACTAAACCATTCACAAGGTACTGTATCCCTGTAAATATAGAGCTGGCTGTGTCAGAAACTAAACCATTCACAATGTACTGTATCACTTTAGACATAGAGCTGGGTGTGTCAACTAAAACTATTTTCAATGTACTGTATTCCTCAGGGTTCCCACCCTACTTTTGAAAACGGGGGAAAAGTAAACAAAAATTTGGACATGAGAAACACGAGACAACAAGAGACAAGACTTTAACAAAATCTAGAATTTGACGACTGTTTAACGTCCAGAAAGTCTCAATTAGGTGTTGAGTGATGAGAGATTGCCATTTCAAGATTTGTTTGCATCAAGTCACATCACCTAAAAGGCTGGAAAGTTAACATTCTAAAATGAACATCACAGAAGGAAAAGACATGAATACACATACTCAAGTCTTTGCTGTTGTACTGCAACAATTGAAATAAATGGGGGAATTTGAAGACTGTTTTGATACAATATTCTAAAAACACACTATATATTTGTTTATCAGGAAGGGAAAAAAACACAAATGTTGGCAAAACCAAAATTACATCAACAGAAAATTCGTTTCCTGCATTTTGTAAGATTTAAATAAAAAAGAAGTGAATGTGTAATGGAACTAAGGTCTTTGTATTTTGAGGGGCAAAATCAATTAACTTCAGGACTCAAGTTGATTCAAATGACAAAATCAGTAATACATAAACAGCTTTTGGTTTTAAATGAAATTATATGAAATACAGTATGCCATTAGTTTTCTCATTCGAATTGTTTAACATTTGTCATTTCAGGGCCTTTTATAGCTGACTATGAGTTATGGGTTTTGCTCATTGTTGAAGGCCATACAGTGACCTATAGTTGTTAATTTTTGTGTCATTTGGTCTCTTGTGGAGAGTTGTCTCATTGGCAATCACATCTTTATATTTTTATATAGAAAGCATAGGAAAAATCAATTGAGGATAAAATTTATAGTTAAATTAGTTTGAATATCTTTATTATATTTATTTTTTACTGTATGTTATATTATTTTTAACAGGTTATAATTCTTTATTGATAGAATTGTATGATCAAATCCTCTTAAAATCTTTGAAAATTGACTAATACGCAGAATATGCAAATAAGAATGATTAAATACTTGACTAATAAAATTGTGTAAATATATAACTATTGTGTATTTTATAAGAAATAGATATAGGAATATGTCCTGGTTTGCTGATTGACTGATTTTTTATCCAAAATGTATGACATGAAAGTTTTGAGTAAGAATGAAAGGAGATATATTTAAAGAATTGGAACAGACAACAATATTGCTTTAGTTGGTAGATATTGTGGTCAAATGGAAATTTAATGTTTATTTATAGAACCTTTATCATATCTATTTATAGAATTGGCAGTGATGAAGATGATGAGGATGCATCAGAATCACAGAGTGCTGACGATCCATCTGAGACTGCTGTGTCAAGAGACGCCATGATGGAAAGGTCACTTGACAATGATGACGGGACAACTGACGGCATGCCTGATGAAGATTCTTTTGTCAAGATCAGTAAGGAAGACGCAGATCAGGGAGCCAATACATCAAAAGACAGCAAGTCATCAGACACGCAGTGTAATGGGGAGGTTAGTTGTTATGATTGATACTTACTCATTTTACAATTTTATAAATGAATAAAAAGAGATGTGGGGTGCACATCAATAAACAGGGCATTCAGGCTTCCTTCACCAATAAAAACTGGCCATCATGTTATAGTAAAAAATGCTGAAAGTGGCGTTAAATACCATTAATCAATCTCATGTGTACAATTCTTGTCCAAATTTTATCAAATTTCTTCCCTTGGAAATGTTAATTAAATGGAAAATTGCATTCGGTACTCACATGCCTACATTTCTCTAAGAAATTTATAAAAAGTTTTTGAAAATTTTTTGACAGATAATATATGAACAATGGGTGGACATTAAACTGTATCCTTTGATTGAAAAACAGTTTATTGAAAAATTAAAAGTTTTTTCCTGAGACCAACAAATTGAAAGGTTAACATAACCAAGTATTGATGAAGTATGTTGTTAGAACTTTATTCAGTATGAATTTACTTCTCATAAAATATGACAATACACAGACATACTCCATTGTATTTCAGGTTTTAATGAACGGAGAAATCACAATTGACGACCTTCCACCATCACTAGATATCTGTCAGGTAGATACTTAGTTAATTCACTAACCAATCTTATCAACCAATGAAATGAGTGAAAAACAATTTTTTTTTGTTTTGATAATGACAATTTAATGTTTATTTTATGAAACTTGGCTTGATTTTAGTATAAACTAAAGAAGCTTTTATCTGAATACAGTAAACAAAAACTTTTCTTGCATGACTTTTGTGAGCAGGAAATACTGGGGAAGTTATTTTTCGTGAATATGTCAAACTTGGTCTCCTCATATATACGATTACATAAACAAAAACAAAAATAGAAAATCATGAAAAATAAATCATTGAGAAGTTAGGGTTAAATGTGAAAAAAGTATCCACAAAAGTAAGGTGGTTAAAAACGACGGTATAGTATGGTAAATGCAGAAATTTTTGCAATGTTTTTTTTATTGTTAGTTTAAAAGTTGCATTATTTCCCAGTTTACTGTGGATTCATAAATTTTCGTAGGTACCAGTTTTCTTGGATTCAGGAAGAATTATATTTTCCTGGGTACCAGTTTTTCTTGGATTCTGGGAGAATTGTGTTTTCGTGGATATTTGATCTCATTATTTTGCCAAAGTCTGCATACACACCTATAGATAACTGGCACTTCTTTAAACATCTAAATTCGTGGGTTACCTATACCAACAGATTCATCAAAAATTGGTGTCCCACAAATATTAATGAATCCACAGTAGTCCATTCATGTGTTTAATGTTACTCGCAAGGCAATACTGTAAAATCTACTGTAATAATTGCTTCTGTGTACCATAAATTTTGTAAGGAAAAGACAACTTTAAATGTCATTCAGAACTTATCATTTATATTATAGGGTGGTATTCAACAAAGAGTACAACAAGAGCAGGTCAATAACTCTGGGACAGCTGCTGTCCTGGCTACCATGGAAACAGAACAGGAACTGGCAGGAGATGGACTGTTCCTTAAAGAACCAGGTACATAATTTTGAAGGTAAAGAAACTCAAAAGGTTTTACTGGGAAGGTTTGTTTTTATCAAAATGGTGCAGATGATTGATCTTCCTTTTCCTTTTTGAATAGGTCAAGTTTATTTGGCTAAGTGTTGGAAGGGAAACACTGATCATTTCAAGGTCTTTTAGAACTTAATTTATGTTTCCTTTGACAAATAAAAGGTAGTGTGAGGAGGCGGATTTTAGCCTAATCAAAACATGTTGAAATTAAATTAAGCTATATACTGTGTATTCATTATTATTTGTTGGATACCAATTTTTCGTGGGTGAAAAGTAAACCATGAATTTTAATGTTAAACATTTAGTACACATTTTCTAAAGGCTTCTATAAGTATAGAACCACTAATTCGGGTCAGAAAGAAAGTAGTACATATTTTAAACAAAACAGTTCCGAAGTACAGTTGTTACTTTGTCTAGAAGTAAAATATTTGGGTAATTTTGGTATCAAATGAAAGCTGAAGGACTTGGGATCACTGTAGGATCCTTGTTGAAAGTTTATTTTATTTCGAATAACAAAAAAAAATATATGAAATTATGATAGGAGGGCACATTTGCCCTGTTGTTCAGATTGAAAGTACCTGTTTTTGTAATACCAAACTTCCAGGATCCAGTGCACTCTAATATGCAATTAATGTTATGTTGAATTTTTCAGCAAAGTCAGGGCTGTTCCATTAAAACATACATGGTACACAGGGTAGGCATTTCAAATGGGGTAACCACCTATAGAGGCAAATTAGAATTTCATTTATATTTCCACTATGCATAAACAAAGATGACACCCACCCATAGTTGAGATTTGGAAGTGCCTTCCCTGGGTCCCATGTATGTTTTTATGGAACAGCCCTCAGGATAAGGTATAGTTTAGACATGAAATGACTGCAACTTTATTTGAACTTAAGACAAAGTAGCCATTAATTCTTGAAATTGCAGAATTTGACGTAGAAAGCAATGGGGTTATGAATTAGTGGTTTTATTCCTATACAGACTGTGGTAAAACCACAAAATCAAATATACAAGAAAAACCATGAAAATTGGTCTCCATGAAAAATAAATGAATCCACAGAAGCATTGATTTTGCTTTGGGATTATTTTCAGCCATAAATCACATCTTTAAAGTTATGGACACATTTTAGGGATTAGTTCTTGGGGAAGGGGAATGGTATCCACATATCTTTTGAATTTCACTGGTAATCTTGAAAGTGATTACCAAGTACACTGATACATTAGTTTCTGATTTAAAGCATGTTCCATATTTTTTATGGTGAACCAATTAATAAGTCTTGATATTTTGGTATTGATAATCGTGAGCAAGAACATCACACTTAGACTTTTTTTGTAATTAGATATGTTAATTATAATTATGCATATTAATGTTTTGTTTCTCCTTTTAATTTATTTTTATTTAAATTTAATTATTTTTTTGCAGATGAGTTGAAGATGGAATAATACAGAAAGACAGATATATATATTTATATTTCTTAGAATGTGTGATATAGACCAGGAAAACAAACCATATCAAACAGCTATAAAGTTATGTTAATATTTAGTCACAGAATTCCTTAATAATATTTACAATCAAAGTCATGTGATCTGTATACAGTGCATACATGTATATATAGAATTGTTTGAAAATAACTCATCCATCAGGCCTTGTTATAACAATCACTCTGGGTAATGAATTTTGGGGAGGAATTCTAGTGAGTCTACTGGAATATTTCACTCATTCAACTTGATTTGTTCGAAAATCACTCTTGGAAGGGATTCTATTGAATAGATGTTGATGTATTTACCAGAAAAATCATTCTTTATATTCAGTAAATATTATTTGACAGACAACCTAGTTCATTGGTTGTTTCCAGTTTTTAGATTAAAGGACAAACACTTACAGCTGAAATAATTGAGTGTGAACTTGGTGCATTAAAGTTAAGTTTACTTGTTTGTAAGATAAACCACAAATTCTTATTAGTTTGCTATTGTAAATATAGAAACAGATTTTTCAGTCATCTTTTTGTAACATATTCTGTGATTTGAACGACTCGTAAAGACTATTGTTACCCTTTGAGCTAGTAAACAAATATAAAGTTATTTTATGGTCTACCAAGCAAATAGGTCACTTTAACTTCATTGTTCTGTATACACACTCAAGTAAATTAGCTGTAATGACGAGATATCAAAATATGTCCCTTTATGTATCTATCTCATGACTTTGATTGTACATCTTACACATAAGTGCTTTATAAATTTGAAGAGGTAGAGCTTCTTAGGGATCCATAGAACAGAATAAATTGTCATATGGAACTCCTGCTGTTTAAAGACGTAGACATATTATAATGGCATCTATTGTAAATCTTATACATAAGCGCTTTGTAAGTCAATAGAGTATTCATTTTCTTATGACATCTAAGATGTAGTCATTGATAAAATTAATGTAGATTTTTTAACTGTAGAAAAAATGGTTGTAAGGGAACATGTTTGTAGAAATTGTTGCCCATTTATTTATGTGCAAGAGTTGTCTTTCTTGTCTTTATCATTGTATTTAGTGATAAAGGGCAAGACAGGTGTTTAAAGTTGCCATTTTAAGGCTTTTAGTTTAAAGAATAGTTATTTGTAATGTATGAAACAAATAAAATGAAAATTGTAAAGTAAGTAAAAGTTTCTATAAATATTAAAAAATATAAAAAAAACTAAAATGTGAAAAATTGGTCTAGAAGCTTTCAAAAAGTTTTTATTTAATGAAATTCAATAACAACAAGATATTGACATTATCAGATAGAAAATTAAGACATGTGCCAAAAAAGTATATATCAAATGCTGTTCTAGGAATTTGTTTTTTAAATAATATTTTGATGACTATGAAATGTTTTTGGATACTGTTAATGCCCCATAGCGAAAGGCAAATTGATGATTTGAAATTTAATTGTTGAGAGAATGAAGAAGTGTTGTATTGTATGAGAAATGATGTTAGAAATTTTTTTTTTGTCCAATGCTGTGATGATCTACGCTGAGCTTCATCATGAGATGTTAAGTAATCATCAGGAGATCAACTGAAATTGACTTGGTGTCTATAGTGAAAATCTGAAGCTAAAACCTGTTACTCATTATTTCAATAGCTACAAAAAAAAAATGATAGTTTTTTTTGTATTTTGTGAAGTTAGACCTAATTAATGAATGTTGTTAATAGGAAATATTGTTTAGGTTGAGATATGGTCTGACTTCCATTACTGACTAAACAGAAATATGGTGGTATTATTTGCAAAATTTGAGAACAGGAAGCCACAAAAGTATTTGGACAGTACAATATACCCCCCCACCCCACCCCCACCCCACCCCACCCCACCAAATAAAAAAGATGACGAAAAAACAATTGGTCCAGACACAAAATATCTACCTTTCTAGACCATATGTTTTTAAAAACAATCAGTAAAAAAATCTTAGATGTCATATGGAGGTTGGATTAGTAAGAAAAAACAGCCCAAGTTTATTCTTGCATGTTTTGTGCATGTATGCAATACTATAATGCCATAGAATATTATATAAAGTATTTGTTTTAAGTTGTTGGCATTGTATTATTTCACATGAAGAAGTGCACCTGTTTAGAATTTTTTATTTCAACCTTTGAAACTGATATGGGAAATGTTTTCATTAAGGAAAGGGTGATTATTGATGTTAATCTCTTAAATCAATGATTAATCACAGTTAATCTCATAAATCAATGATTAATCACAGTTAATCAGATTGTTGTAAACACAAATTGTTATATGTGTATGACCAATGTTATAATCAATGTATATTTTTTACATTGTCAGATCCTAATTTTAAAAGTTTTGTGTTAAAGTTTGTTGTGATTATACATTGAGCTTCATTAAAAAGTTTCACTACAGAATGATATTCTTATTTCTAGTTAACATTGTCACATCTCATATCCATTGAGGTTCTCTGGCACTTCACTGATCAGTCAATGCACATAATTAGGTCAGTTTAAAAGGAATGACTTAAAAGTTTAAAACAAGCTGAAAATGTTATGGCAAAAAGCGAAAACTGACCAAAGACATGACAAACAACAGTATACAAAACACAACATAGAAAACTAAACACTGGTCAACTCAAACCTCACTAAAAACGATGGTGATCTCAGGTGTTCTGTTATATAGATACAATGGATAAGCGTGGATTCTTGAAAAAGAAACCATAAGCACGGAGGGCGAATGGTTTGTTTTTCATGAATCTACGCTTATCCATTGTATCTATAACTTAAACTATTGTGTTAATTTCTTTTCAAAATTAAAGCCTTTTCTTAATTAGAAGGTATTGTAAGTGAGTTTAAATAACCATGTTATCATGTCCATCGATGCATTGATAATTCTCAAATCACAATTAATTGGTTAACAAAATACAAATATAACACTACTACCTTTAAAGATCTTTATATTATCAGGCATCTGAATATTATCTGTTTTTACAAAATAAGACATTTTCGAACTTATTTCTAATAAAATTGAGAATGGAAATGGGGAATGTGTCAAAGAGACAACAACCCGACCAAAGAGCATATATAAAGTATATATAATAAGTATGTTACGGAAATTTCTAGCACTCTAGGCACATCACGATTTTCTAGCATAGGAATTTGCGAACAAATATTTGTAAAATTATGTAGTAAAACAGATGAAATCAAACTATATTTATACAACAAAAATTGACAAATAGAATGTAATCATTTTTGTTTCAAACATGTGAAATAGCCAATAATAATCCAAAATATAAATGGTAAAACACGCTATTACATGTATTACAAAAATATCCACTATAACATGCAAAATTAGAAAAAAAAAAACAGAATTGGGACAACCCCTGTGTGTCCGATGTTCATTTATATATATAATATAGACATCTAAGTTGTAACCCATTGGAAGCCGAGAGGTTTAGTCGATGTGTTGATGTCAGTCATAACAGATTTCAAGGAAGGGTTCGATTCCCAGTGAAGGCATATACAAATTACAAAAATTAAAGGTAAGTTTTTAAATTAATTCCATTAGTGAACAGAAGTCAGTAAAATTAGCCAATTCAAACTTAATGAAATTAGACACTCAAAGGAAACACTTGAATATAATTTGGTGAGTCCATTTCAGCGGCAGATTTAGGAAGCGTTGATTCTAGAAAAAGAATCCACGGTAAATGAATAGGCTGACGTCACCACAATGGTTTAAGGAAGGGTAAGCAGATCCTTCTGCATATATGACACCCTTCTTGTTGCTTCTGTAAGTTCACACCCAGTGATCAAGTCTAATTTTTTAGGTTTGATTGTGGTTACAATTAGAACATATCCGTCATTGTCTATGACGGATATTCTATAATAGGCTACCAACTCGTAATGGCGTCCTTAAATTTCAAAGAGATGATTTCAACTTCATCACTGACAACTCTTAGTTCAATAGGTTCCTTGTAAGCCGCAACAATCTATCACAGGAAATCATGATAGGAAATGCAAGCTCTGGAATATCTTTTCAATGGGGTGATATTTACTCCATGTACAGGTCCTGCTGAAATGTTGCTAAATAAAAATGGAATGTTCACAATTTGAAGGCTGAACTCATCTCATAAAGTTTTGTTCTCAAACGACTCTCATTGTCAATTTCTAGATGTAAGTCAAAATATGAGGCAGACTAAACTGTATTTGTTGCATCCTTTATTTCAAGATCGATGGGATAGATACATTCAATGTAGTCGCAATACTTCGAATTATTTAGTGAGAGGACCTTATCTACATAGCGGAGCATGAAGTTAAAGGATAATGCTAGCCTCTTTTCTATCTTAAGAAGCTTCTTTGTGAAGTCAGCCTCATGGATAGAGGAACAAGTCGACTAGATGATCACACTTTGCTCCCATGGGAATGCCAATTGGTTGTTGAAAAACGGAATGTCCAAACATAACAAATATGTTGTAAATCAAGAAATCAAACAGCTTGCTAATGTTTCAGAGATTTTTTTAAGTTATCTTGTAGAAATTACGGTTGATCACTCCCTAAGACAAGTTATTCGTATTTATGTTGGGCATTCATTTTTTTTTGAAACAAAGGAACATTTCTTAAAATTTGTCTCTTAGTTTAGAATGGGAAATACTTGTGCATAGGTTAAAAAAAAGAGACTTAGATTGTATGTACTCTAACAGATCATTCGTCTTTTAAGTATCCACATCTGATTCACTCCTAGAGAAGGAAGTTTCAAAATAACTTTAGAGTAAAAACTTTCCTTTGATCAGGGTGAGCTCTGATATCCAATTTCTTTGATTGATATGTTGATTAAATGTTTCAACTGGGACTCTACATCCCATATGTCATTTACACTTTTCGAAAACATTGCATAATATAATTAATTCACCTTAAAATTAAAATTAAAATTTCTAAAAAAAGTTTTTTCACACATATTTTTGTACTTTAGATTGTTTCTAATATTTCGACATTTTGATTTGACCAATTTCTTTATATCGGAGCAAGTACAAATGAAAAAGTCTACATCAAATTTATTGTCTAAACATATCAATAAACTCATCATAGATACCAGGATTGAAATTTAGTATTTACGCCAGACACGCGTTTTGTCTACAAAAGACTCATTAGTGACGCTCGAATAAAAAAGGTTTAAAAGGCCAAATAAAGTACAAAGTGAAAGCATAGAGGACCAAAAGTTCCTAAAAGTTTTGCCAAATACAGCTAAGGTAATCTATTCCTGAGGTAGAAAAGCCGTAGTATTTCAAAAAATTGTAAACAGTTAATTTATAATTATGACCATATCAATGACAATTCAAGTCAACTTATATTTTCCTTTTGCATTCTTAGTCCAGTTCTTCATGTTTGGTTGAAATTCAAAAGGAACATATAACAGACAACATTATTCAGGATTTTCTCTTTGGTAAGTGTCGCGGAGCTTTATGTTGAGTTTCCAAGTAAATTGTCAATACATAATTATTTTATCAAGCAGTTTATGTAACATGATTTACACACAACAACAATGTTTCCTGGGGCTTTATTTGCGGGGACAATGATATATTTTTTAAGGAGACCAGACAGGTGCTTAGCAACATTTTGGTCTCGGAAGAACGATGTAGCATGTGCATTTATAGACCATTCAGTTTTTTTATTCTAATTTGTTTCAACGACCTCACAGCCTTAACCCATTCGGAAAGAGTATCTATGCGTATTCTTTTTCGCGTTTAACCCATTGTCTGGCATAATCCTCAACTGAATCCATCAGTATTTAAAGTTGAGTTTCCAATAAATGGATTTAGGCTCACGTTATTTTCCGCCTTTGGATAACAAATGCATAGAAGTGTTATTGGCAATGTTCAGTTGGCAGGTAATAATGTGGCCAGTCGGATTATATAAGTCGTCGATGTTGAGATCCTGCAATACGTGTTTGTTATCAATTTGATTTGGTATAGGTATAAGATATAGTAGGTACAGACTGATCTTTAAATTAGGGAGGTATTTTCGAGTAGACTGTTTATGATGAAGGATATTTCCGAAGTTGATTGCATCGAGACCTTTGTTGGCAAAGGAAAGTTTTAGAAAGGATCTGTTCTTCTTTTCATCTTTTTAAATGATAACCGCTCTACAAAGTCTGTGACTGGCAATATCCATGAAAAGATTCGTGCAAATGTGATGAATATCCAACGGCTTTTGTATAAATGAAAGAATGTCATAACAAGAGACATCATGGAGAGAAGGTAGTGTATGATAACGATGACCATGACTGCGTCTACGTAGAAATGCAGAGGCGAAAATATTCATCACATTCACAGAGCTACAAAAACGACTAGATATAATTCCTCTACCATCAATTTTGATATTTCAATCCTATGGTGTCGCAGTTCCCAATTCACGAATCCAGTATTCTTCCTTTTGTCTTTTACTTTGTAAATACTGTGGTTATGAGAACGAACCCCGATCGTATCTAGGTGTTTCAACTATCTTAATTTACAAGGATTGCTTATTCTCCGGTCGAAGGTTGGTGGTTATACTCGGTAAAAGAGAAGCGAAAGATACCAAAGGCATATAATCAAACTCATAAGTCGAAAACAAACTGACAATGCAATAGCAAGAAAAGAAAAACAACCAAAAGACATATAGCACAACACAACATTGAAAACTAATGACTGAGCAACACGAACTCCATCAAAAACCGGGGATTATCTCAGGTGTTCCGGAAAGGAAAGCAGATCCTGCTCCACATTTGGCACCTATCGTGTTGTTAAACTCAGTACAACACATGTGATAAGTCTAATTCGGTAGGTCACATTCGAGGAGAAGAGAACTG